ACCCTGGGCGGGCTCACTGCAACGGACCTGGCTGAGAGACCCCGAGAGGGAATCCAGTAACCAGGTGCCGGGGGAGGGGGACCACACGGTCTCCAAGACACCTGGTTTCCAACAAAACTTACGAGATGTTCAAAGATGACTCTGAGCTGAGCCCGGCACAGAAAAACCAGGCAGACTTCAGCCCCATACGCGGCTCAGCACAGAGCGCGCCGACCACCATGTCAGAATCCCAGCACCACGAGGGGGAACACACGAGGAAGACTTGGAATCAAAAATATGTTTGAAGAATTAAGCGCGGACCGGGACTTAGCTCAGTGGCTAAGCGCAAAGTTGTGAGTTCCATCCCTGGCACAAAAAAAAGAATGAAGTCCATGAAAAGGAAAACAGTCTGATGACACATTCAGTTCAAACACACAGGGCATTACCCAGAGGCAGAAGCTGTCATCAGAGTAAAACGGGACTCCACAAGAAAGCAGCTTCACAAGAGAGGCCCGGCAGCAGATCTGAACTCAGCCACTGCGCACGGAGGAGAACCACGGCCCGGAACCACGGCAGGCAGCTGTAGGTGGCCCAGCTTAGGCAGCCCGCAGCCAGAAAGGGAGAGGAAGAGGAGGGACCCAGCATTGAAAGGAAGAGCAGCTGCCCGGCTGCCTGTCGCCCAGCACTCTGGGAGGCTGAGGCCCGAGGGTCACAGGTGTGAGCCCGGCCGGCCGGGGCCACTGTCCCAGACAGGAACAGTGAGACCCTGTCTGGGAAGGAGAAGCATGCAAAGGGCCAGGCTTGTAGCTCAGTGTGCAAGGACCTCGATCCAACCCCAGCTTCCAAGGCCGGGCGTGGTGGCTCACGCCTGTAATCCCAGCACTTGGGAGGCTGAGGCAGGAGGATTGTTGTGAGTTCGAGACCAGCCTGGGCTACAAAAGAGAGCTCAAGGCCAGCCTGAACTGCATAGCGAGACCCCGTCTCAAAAAGACAAAAAACAAACAAACCAATCCCAGCTTCCCCAAACTGACATCTATACACCAAAGCAGCTGGGCCAGTTCCACAGGAAATAAACAGAATTCCACAAAAGTACACATCATCATGAAAACGCCAAGGTTTGAGAACAGCACAAAACAAATGAAAGCAGCAAAGCAAAATAAACCACTTCCAAGAGAAAGCTGATGGCTAAAGTGGAATCTCACCTGCAGCCAGCAGCTAGCAGCAGGCGGGATGCAGCTCAGAGGGAGGGCGCCTGCCTGGGCACATCGCGGTGCAACCTCAGCACCCAAAGGGAAAAGAGGGAAGGGGAGGGGGAGAAGGCGGGCACCTGGGGTGCTGCACATACCTAGAACCCCACCTCCTCAGGAAGCTGAGGCAGGAGTATTACAAAGTCTAGGCAACCTGTGCCCCTTAGCTGGACTCTCTCAGAATAAACAAACAGGGCTGGGGTGAGGCTGAGTCCTCCCTGGTCCCACCCCCAGGAACACATGCTTGCAGGTAACATCTAAAAAAACCACTGAAGTAGTGACCCCTGAAAACCAGGGAGAAAAGTCATTAAGGAAATTAAAGCGCTGCTAAACGAAGTCCTCGCCATAAAGCAAGCTGTAAGGAGAACAGCACAGACAGATAGCTCAAACGAATCTCCGGTGGGCGTGGGTCACACAAGGCAATCAAAGGCGCAGGGCGGGGACCAAAACTCAAAAGCCAAATGCATGGGATGGTCTCTTTCCCTCCTCTTTCAAATAGTGCTGGGACCACTGGATACCTACTTGAAAAAGAAACTTAGACTCATACCTAAAACCTTACTAAAAAACCACCCAAAAAAAACCCTAAATAGAGCAAGACCTGATTGTAAAAGTTAAAAGTAAAAGTAAGAACTCTTAGGAAAAAAGAGATTCGCTAATGAATTCACAGCTTTGACACCCACAGCACAAGCGTTACGAGAAAAATAAGTAAACTGGGCATGGTGGTGCATCCCTGTGATCCCAGTATCCCAGGAAGCTGAGGCAGGAAGGTTCCAAGTTTGAGCCCAGCATGGGCAACTTAAAAGACCATGTCGTACAAATTAGAAATGGCTGGAAACTCAGCTCCGTGGAAAAGCCTTGGATCAAGCCCCAGGAAGGAAGGAAGGAAGGAAGGAAGGAAGGAAGGAAGGAAGGAAAGAAGGAAAGAAGGAAGGAAGGAAGGAAAGAAGGAAGGAAGGAAGGAAGGAAGGAAAGAAGGAAGGAAGGAAAGAAGGAAGGAAGGAAGGAAAGAAGGAAGGAAGGAAGGAAGGAAGGAAGGAAGGAAGGAAGGAAGGAAGGGGAGAGAGACAGAAAGCAAAGCAAAGCGGGAGAGAGGGAGGGAGGAGGGAAGACAGACCAAACAAACAAACCAAGCAACACCAAATCACTTTATCAGAATTAAAAGGTTTTTATACCAAAGGACACATCAAGAAAGTGCAAAAAACCCCAGAGTAAACACAGTAGTTGCTTATGATTCAAAGAAGGACCCACATCCAGAGTTCAGGGAGCAGGACTCCGGGCTGCGGACTGGCTCAGTGGCTGAGCACCTTCCGCAGCACGAGCAAGGCCCAGGGTCCAATCCCCAGCACTGTCCCCCAAGTCATGCTTCCCCAGTGATACACAAGTGGCCAGCAGGTCTATGACAACAGCCACTGGCCACCAGGGACACACCGCGCCCCACTGCCACGCTGGCCCGATGAGCAGCCCAGGTGGCACCAAGGCGGTGCGGGGCACTCTGCTGCCTCCTGCTGCCGGCGAGTGTGAAATGGAGCGGCCACTTGGGGAAGCACACCGCAGTGCAGATGACCTGCAAGGCCTGTGCTCCTCAAGACGTCCCCCACAGAGGACCAGGAGTCTGATTCTAACTGTACCAAGCATCTAGACGCAGCGGCGCAGACCGGTGCTGCCTGAGGATGGCGGCCGGGCTGGCCTTGTTCCTGAGGACGGGGCAACGTTCCATGATTGTACTTGGTGGCTGCAAAACAACAGCTCTGTAGGAGCTAAACACGACTACACTGCAAGCGTGGCGTGGCTGTCAACCAGACACCCTTCCAGAGCCGAGCCTGCTCCAGGTGTGCTCGGGAGGCTCCGGCCTCCCCAGCCTCCCAGGAGCCGACAGGCTCCCGCGCAGGCTTCTGCCTGGGAGCCTGCTGACCTTGCTAGAGCAAGCTAAGTTAAACCTCGTAAGTCATGGTGGAGTACTGTGACCAGCAAAGGGAAAGGGATTAGGAACTGATGGCCAACGGCAGTATCTGCAAGCTTTTCATTCATTCCTTTCTTCCTTTCTTTCAACTGTCTGAGCCAGGGTCTCCCTATGCAGTTCCAGCTGGCCTTCAACTCTCTGCAATCCTCCTGCCTCAGCCTCTCGAATGCTGGGGGTTACAGGCACGCGCCACCCATGCCAGGCTTAATTCATTTCTATAGTCCAGTCTTTTTTTTTTTTTGGCCCAGATTCCTTAAAAAGGTAGTATTTAAGCCAGGCACACGCAGCCTGAGCTACACAGTGAGTTCAAGGCCAGCCTGAAATTCATAGCTAGACCTTGTCTTAAATTAATTAATTAACTGCATTACAACTGTCTCCGAGCCAACTGTGCCTTCTAAGTATTTTCATTACCTTCCAAACCCACCTATGGCAGCTGTTGCTATGGACTATTTTTTTCTCTTACTCTTTACTTCTTTTACAATCAATGTTAAACTTCTACGTTACCAGCTATTGCCCATTTCCCCTAGACCTTCCCAAAGCTCTACTAAGGTCACGCATGCTCTCCACTCTCCGTGGTCTTTCTCTCCTTACCCCGTCAGCTGCCAAGCCAGGGCCCCTTCTTGGCAGGGTCCCTGCCAACAGCTTCTCTGTTGCCAAGGCCACTGGATGCTTTCCCAGTCCTTCCAGACCACTCAGTGGCACCCGCCAGTCCTGCATCTGTGACCACTCAAGCCGAACCCCTGCCCTTCCCCCGCCCTGGTGAGATCACTGCACAGAGAAAGCCAAGTCGTGAGGGGTGCAGGAGGAGCTTGGGGCTTGGGAGCACACCATGGCCACGGGTTCCTTCCTCTCTCTAGCCCAGGCCTGGTCCCAGCCCTCCACCTTGCCCAGTGTCTAAGTGTCCAGTGTCCAACCCAGCATGGCACCTGTTTAACAAAAACAGGAGCCACCCTGACCTCCACGCTGGACACCAAGAACTTGCTAGACTTGGTGTGTTTGTTACCAGGAATCGAACTCAGGGCCTCACACTTGCCAACAGGCGCAGGCAGCTGAGCAGCAGCCATAGCCCTGGACATTCCAGCAAACAACCCAGGCCCCTGGATCCAACACGCATGCTTCTGTCCCCGCACCACGGGCTCCTCTGCCCCCAATCCCAGGCACTGCCCAGCGGCTGATCCTAAGGCAGTTATCCCAGGGCTGGGCACCCCACAGGACAGCCTCCTGCGCCTTCCTCCACCACTCTCCACGGCAGGCGGAAGGCCTGTTGGCCAACGGCAACTCTTGGCCTGCTCGCCTGATGGCTGTGCCGCTCACGGAAGCCAGCCAGGCGCCCTCGGTATGGCCCTCCCTGGCCACAGCCTGAAGCCCAGCGCCTGCTCCACCAATACCTGCACTGGCTGCCTCTGTTTCTTCTTTTCATATTTATTTATTTTTGGTTTTCTGAGACAAGGTTTCACTACATAATTCAGGCTGGCCTTGAACCACGTTGCCCGTGACCCTCCTGCCTCAGCCTCCTGAGAGAGGGGTTACAGGTGTATGCCGCCCTGCCCAGCATCCAGTTTGCTTCCGTTTCCTGAAGCTCATCTGGTTACTGTCCCCCACAGATGGAGGGCCCCACATCCTGTGATACAGGCTCCTGGAGGCCCTGCTTGACACTACCTGCATCTCCCCGGCCCACTCTGTGCCATCCTGAGGCGCTGGGCTGGGAGGGCCCAGGCACTGCCCTTGCCCTGGTTTCTCCCAGGCCGGCAGAGGGGGTGAGCCTGGGACCTACCCAGAGGCCTCGCAGGAGGACAGTCCTGGTGGCCACTCACCCTGCGGTTCCGGTTGTGATCCATGGTCTTGAGGTGCTTCTGGATGACCCCGAACTGCATGGGGATGAAGAGGTCACAGGCTGCACAGTGGGCTGCCTCCACTTTCTTCACAAAATGCTCCATGGCGATTTCTGGGGATGGGGAGAGAGTCACCACTGGTCCCAGACACCCACACACCCAAAGGTTTACGAGGCAGAGGAGACCAGCTCCTGGATGTGCCCTGGCCCCGAGGAAAGGGGGCCATCTCTGAGGTGCAGCAGCCAGGACAAAGCCCTCACCCTGGGTCAGGTCCTGGTCTCTGTAGATCTGCTGGATCAGCCCGTCCAGGTCCTCCACGGTCTTCCGCAGCTCCTCTGTCTTCTTGGTCTTGTTGGCAACGTACTCCTGCCCAAGACACGTGGCTCACGGGGGCTGCCCTGCATCCCGAGGGCCTCTGCCCAGGGCGCCGCACCCCTGCGAGGCTCACCTGCAGGAAGTCAGCCGTCTGCTTCGGGAGCTTGGTGCCTACGAACTTAAAGTGCTCCTTGTGGAACCTGCTGTCCAGGTGGCTGGCCATCTCGTCCTCGTAGAAGGTCCGGTACTTACAGAGGGAACACACAAACTGGATCCTGCACAGGAGGGAAGCCCGAGGCTGAGGCTCGGGCCCCGGCAGTGCTGTTGCCTCACCCACCCCGCTGCAGCCCGGAACAGGCCTCGTGCCCAGGCCTCGGAGTGTGGTCCCAGCGGAGGGCAGGCTGGGACCAGCAGGGCCGGGAGCGGAAGGGACAGAGTCTGCAGGCTGCAGTTGCTGCAACGCAGGGGCAGGGGAGGAGCTCTTCCTTCCCCCAGGCGGGAGGCTGGAGCCGGGCCTGCAGCCGCTGCAACAGGCAAGGAGTCGCTGGAAGGCTGCCGGTGGGGCGGTGGGGACGGAAGGAGGGTGCCGTGGCGGGAGCCAGCGGCCCAGAGGTGCGGAGTGGAGCACGCAGTCCGAGGCAGGGCCACGGAGGCGCTGCATCTTCCTCCTGGGCCCTCGGCCCCGAGGCCCAGTGCCTCCGCCGCTCAGAAGGCTTGGGGGTGGGAGGCTGCGCCTGGGCACCGCTGCCCGTCTTCCTCTTCCAAGAAGAGACCAGTCTGAGCTGGCGGGAGGGCGCCACCTGGCCTGCCCGCGGGCAGCCTGCAGTCTGGGCCCGGCGTCCACAGCAGAAGCCCAGGGCCCGGGCCCCGGCTGGAGCAGGCCGCCGTGGCAAGGGGCGGAGGAGGCCAGCCGCCACCGAGGCCTCGGGGCGGGTCCCTACCTCTGCCGGACGTCCTTATCTGGGCCACGGGGTCAGCTTTGTCCGGAGAGCCCAGGGGCCGGGCGCCGGCGAGGTGAGGAAGGTCCAGCAAGAGCAAGAGTCTGAGGCGGAGGAGGAGGCAAGCGCCAGGCGGGGCCCTGAGGGCAGACAGAGCCACCAAGGGGCGTGAAGGGCTCAGCCGCGGACGCGCCGGGGGCAGCGCAGAGGGCAGGCCCAGGCTGCCTCGGCCACGGTGCGGCCTCTCTCCTGGGCGGCGGTGGCGGCCTCCGGGCAGCCAGCTGGGCGGCGCAGCGCCTGGACCTCGAGTCTCCGGCGAGCCGGCCCCCTCCCTCGGGGCACCGGGCCCCAGTGCACCGGCTGCACCCAGCACGGGGCTCCTGGCGGCGGTGCGAGCAGTGTCAAGTCTCCGGCCGGACGCCAGCCGGCCCCGAAGGGGGAGGGGACGGATCAGGCCTTGGAGCTGGCCTGGCGGGAAGCAGGGTCCATGCACGGCCGAGCAGCTGGCGGCTCCTGAGGGAGGCCAGAGGGCGGCGACACGGCAGAGCTATGCCCTGCGCTCCTGGCAGCAGCCCCAGAGCGAGGCGGACACAGGGACGAGGGCGCCGGTTACCTTTCCACCATGCGGTCTCGCTGCCGCTTTTTCTGCTTATCCTGGCTCTTCTTGGTTGCCTGCAGCTTGCGCTTGGCCTGGCTGTCGTCATCCTGGGTGGTCAGGGCCCCTGTGGAAAGAGAGGCACCAGTCAGTCCCTCAGTTCTGCAGGGCAGGGCGGGCCCTGTGGCCTCTGGCTAAGTCACCCGCTGTCAAGGGTCCGTCTGAGAGCAGCTGGCCGCGCAAGGCCTCTGGCCATGAGCAGGGCTGGGTGCCCGGGGCTGGGCAGGACAGTGAGACTGTCCCAGGCCCAGAAGGCAGGGTACACGCACTGAGCCCTCAGCTCTCCAGAACACCCTCACTCTTGTGGAGTGGGCCATGGGGAGGCTGCAAGGCGGAGAGAGGCTGTGTTGGTGGGGGCCGCCGGCAGGTGCTGAGGGGCCAGGCGGCAGGATGCAGGGAGCTGCTCATATGGCCCGGCCCACCCCCCACTGGGCACCGCGGGGACAGCGGGCTGAGGCTGGATTTACTGTCAGGTACCTGCTGGCGCTCATCACTCAGGTGGGGGGACACGGACTCCCAACAGGGGCTGGAGAGGCGCTAAGGGAGAGGACACGCAAACCAGAGCCGTAAAAGCTGCACCAAGGGTCCCAGCTCCGACACCAGCCACTGAGGACTCGGAACTGCACATTACTCAGGGACCAAGGGCAGGGGGTGTGCCTGGGCTTCCCCACACTTTCGCCTGCTGCCCCCACCTGAAGGCAAAACCAACGTGCTAGGCGGGCTCACCACTACCCACAGCCTCCGAAGGGGAAGCACAGGACAGGGCAGGAAGGGGCGGGAAGAAGAGCCCTTACCCACTTGTGCCCACCCAGAGAGCTGGATCCCACCCCCACGGAGGACCTAAAGAGCCGCCTGGCCCCAGGCCCCCGGAAGACTCACCCTTCTCTGAATCTTCCTTGCCGTCTTCTCGCCCGTCCTCTTTTCCCTCTTCGTCCTCTCCTTCCTGACGCATAAGTGGAAAGCCAGTGTAAAAGCTGTGCAGTTACTTATAACGGCCCTCGATAAATGACAAGGGCAAAGCCAGCAGCCTCCCCGCCCGGCGTGCAGAGGGCTGGCCCCTCTTCTCCCACAAGAAGGCCATGTGCTTTCCGCCGAAGCACACTGTTGACCCACTGCTGGCCACACGAGGCCCAGCACTGGTATGACAAGACCCAGCTCGATCTTCACAGGCCCCAGGTGCAGAGAGCGGACTCCACTTACTGCTCGGGAGCCCTTCTCCACGGCGTCGGGACCTTCAGGGCCATCTGCGGCTTCCCCCTCGGTGCCGTCATCTGCAAGAAGACGGCCACGAGCTCAGCTCAGGAGCCCATGGGCAGAGGGCGAGGGTGGGCACCTGGCTCACCGTTGTCGGAGTCACTGTTGTCTGAGCAGTCCGTCCTGGTGGCCTTGCTGTCGGGCTCGTCAGGACTGCCACTCTGCTTTCGCTTTTTCTTTTTGGTCTGGGCCGGAGAGAGGGAGCCAGGTGAGCAGCGGTGGTTCTGCCCAGCTGCGGCCAGGAGGGGCACCCTGGCCCGCCCACTCACCCGGAAGTCGGCTGTGGTCCAGGTCTTCCAAGTCCTCCTCATCTGCTTCATGCCATTGCCAAAGCCAAAGCCAAAGCGGGAGCCGCCTGGGAAGGCGCCCCCGCCGCGCATGCCCTGGAACATGCCGTACTCAGGGATGATGTTCTGGGAGAAGAGGGAAGGCAGCCGGGAGGCACCAGGCATGCACTGGCCCCGGGCCCCAACGGGGTCTTCCCACATGCGCCCATAGCCCGAGGCCATCGGCCGGCCACTGCGGGCGTCCCGGGCCCAGCCCTGAGCCCTCGGACCGAAGGTGTCGCCTCCACGCATGCGGAACTGGTCGCGGTAGGCATCGTACTGGCCCTCATAGGCCATCTCCATCTCGGGATCGAGCTCGCCATAGTCATAGCCCGACCGGTACAGGTCGCGCTCGCTCAGCACGGCCCTCGAGTCACAGGCCTCATAGGAGTCGTATCTGCAGGAACACGCACAGTCATCAGGAGAGCCCCTCAGCCTCGGGCCAAAACCCTGCACCTGCCCACTCAGCCTCCCAGCCCTGGGACGGAGCACAGGCCCCGCCTGGCCTGCCTTGTCAGAGAGGCTCGAAATTCAGCAATGGCAGTTAGAGCCTGGCCTCTCCCGAGCAGAGCTCTAGGGACAGGAAGGGCCTCTCAGGTTACCTTCCCACTGCCCAAGCCTGAACAGCTGGGAGGGAGGGAGACTCTAACCCAGCCAGTCGGTACATCTCTTTGGGGGGCTACCTCCAGGTTTGGGGATAGCGGGCCATCTGCGGTCACCATGACAACCTAGGCTGCCCCTTGGCAGCTGAACCAGCACCCCAACAGTCAACACTCAGCCACCGATGCAGCTAAGACCCGTGGCAAACACTGCACTGGGCTCACCCCTCAATGCCGGGCAAATCCCTAAACCCTCACCACCCAGAGACGAAAGGAGCAACTTTTCTCAGGAGCCACTGGAGCCACGAAAGGGCCTGAAGGGGACTCCAGCCCTGTGCAGCAGTGGAAGCGGGCAGGCTCATGCACGAGAGCCAGCAAGGACCCCTCTCCTAAGGGGGCCAAGCACTCCTAGCCAGCACTGAGCACTGCCAGCAGGTGCTCTGCAGTGGGGCCCGTCTCGGCGGAAACCAAGCCCCCCCACTCACTGAAAGGCTCACACCGGCCTGTCTCTTGCACAAGGACGTCCTGGCTGGCAGCCGTCAGCCCCAAAGGCTCATCCCGTCCTTTGTGCCCAACCCAATCCATCCTGCTGCCTCCACACAGTTTACAAAGCCCTGGTTTAACCCTCTGCTCAAGGCGCCCAATCTGCGCTTCCTGCTCCCGACAAGCAGCGAGCAGCGGGCATGGGGCTGGGGAATGGGCAACACTCAGGAGGGCGGGGCAGTGCGCCCCAGGGCAGGAAGCCCCGTGTTTGGGAAGGCAGCCCCACTCACCTTTCTCCTCCCGAGCCATATATGCTTCCCTGCATCATGTCGCTCTCCAGGTGTGGCACCATGTCTACGCGCTGGTTAACTCTGGATAAAACGGAATCAGCACTGGCGCTACCCGAGGCGCTAGGGTTTGCACTTGTGTCAGAGCCAGGCATTTCCCAGGAGCTGGAAGTGGCCATACCATACCCATAGCTGGCGCTATCCTGGCCATAGCCATAGCCATAGCCATAGTTCTCGTAGCCTGCAGTGAGGGAGACAGAGACACAGAGATGGCGGGGGCAGGGAGAAAGGAGGCGGCAGCAGGCAGACACAACACAGAGAAACGTGCCCTGTGTCACGGAGAACAGCCAGAGACTCGCGTCACCCAGGGCCAAGTGGCCCCAGCCATGCCACTGAGGAGCTCCAGTGATGGAGCAGCTGGCCCCAAGGACCCCCAAAGCTGCCCTTGGCCAAGCACAGCAGGGGCAGAGAAGTGGAACTGTTTCGATCCCCAGGAAGGGAAGAGTGGTCATGGGAATGGTACTTGCCTCTGTTTGTCCCAGAGCTCCACGTTCCATAGCCTACAAAGAAGTGAAAGGACAGTGACAGCTACCGAGCCTTGGTGCACGTCAACCTCACTCAGGCAGGCGAGCTCCTGAGTGACACAGCAGTGCCCACAGCCCGCCTGCTCCAGCCCACTGAAGCCCACAGACCGGGTGCGCGTGCTGGACAGCGCCCCACACCCAAACCAGGCTGCCTGCTACCCTGGCTCCCAGACTTGCAGACCCCTAGTGGCCGGCAGCTAAGGAGCCTTGTATATTCTCTCTCCCCAGAGAGCTGGACTGAGAAGACAACCTCCCCGCCCCCATGAAGCACGACCGGGAAGGAGGAGCTCAGAGCGCACCCGCAGACCTGGGCTGGCACACTGCTAGCTGGGTTCCACCCCGCACTACGAACAGACAAACAACCAAGAGCGCGCTGCACAAGACGCCTGGCAGGCTCCCTAACGACACTGAAGTCACGTGACCAAATCAAACCTTCCGGGGCAGGGAAACACAGCATCTGTCCCGACAGAGGGCCAAAAAGCTCCCAAAGCGTGAGGGTAAGCTTAGCAAGAGCATGTCAAGGTGACGTCAAGAAGCAACTCTCAGCTTGAGAAAAGACCTGGAAGAAGCACCTGGGTTAGAGACCAAACACGCTCAGGAGATCTGGTCTCGTCTACAGTACGAAGGCGTGCATTGCTTCAGGAGCACAAAACCATGGGGAAGGTCATCCCCAGACACAAACCCTTCCCGGGCAGTAGCGCAGTGTGGGAGGAGCGGCCTGCCCCCGCAGGCCATCCCTCTCTGCAGACAGACGGACAGCACTCGTCCCCCGGCAGGGAACTCAGCCACTGAGATGCAGCAAGGTCAAGGACGGCACCCAGACCACAGAGGACAACAGTGAGCCTGACACAATGGGAAGGAGGTGGAGCCTGACAACGGTGCACAAACACAATTGGAAGGAGGTGGACACCAGCCAGGTGCTCTGGCTGCACACTCCAGTTGATGACCTGTAGCCGGACAGCAAAGTACTCTCAGGCCAGGGGAGCCCAAACCATCTCTGTGTGCCAGTGTCATCTCTCAGCAGAAGCTGCAGCCCTGGGCACTGTGTAGCAGTGGTGCTAGTTGTCAAAAAATCCTATGAAGAGCCAGCTGCACGATGCATGCCGATAACCCTCACACTGCACTGAGGGAGGCTGAGGCGGAGGGTGACAAGGTCAAGGGCCGCCTGGGCAGCTCAGCAAGACCTTACCTCAGAAACACAAAAGGCTGGGGATGCAGCTCAGCACACAGGTCCTGGGTTCAATTCCCCGCGGAGACGGGAGGTGGAGAGACACGACCCAAAGAACCAGAAAGGGGACAAGTAACAGTCCAGAGCTGGAGAAAACAGCAGTGAAGGAGTCATTCCCACAGGCGTGGAGAGGCCTGGCCACGTGGCTTCCTGTTTGCACCAGGAATGATAGGTACTGGCATTCTATGTCTATTATGTGTGGTGCTGGGCACTGGACCCAGGACCTCGTGCACGCCATGCCAGCGTTCTAGCACTGAGCTTCAACCCGGACCAACACGGGTCACTAGAAAGGTGACAGGGACTGAGCGGCAAAGGCAGACCCACTCTGGTTCCGCTTGTGGCGCTGCAGTCTGGTCATTCAGGGTGTCAGCCACACAGCCCTGCCCGAGGAGAGAAAGGGAGCAGGAGCAGGCAGAGACCCTACAGACACTTCAGGCCTCCGGCAGGCAGAGGCAGGAGCAGGAGCACGAGCAGGAGCAGGAGCAGGAGCAGGAGCAGCAGGGACCCTACAGACCCTTCAGGCTTCAGGGTCAGGCAGGCAGGCAGCCTCCTGTGACAGGGCAGCCACAGGGCAGCACTGTCTGCTGCTAATGGGGATTCCTGGAGTGAGCCAGACCCCCTGATGAGCCCCCAGCCTGCTCCTTTCAGAAAGAAGGCTGCCTCCAGGTGGCACTGTGGGGCCACCTTGAGAACTGTCTCTTGGGAAAAAATATCCCAGCTCATTTTCTGGACCCAGGAGAGGAATGAGAGAGAAAAGATCGTAGTTGACAGAGGGTATTTAACAGATTGGGGTTTTTAAGAGAGTGGGGGCACACGCCTGCAATCCCAGCACTTGGAGGGCCGAGAGGCAGGAGGACAGCCTGGGCTACAGAGTGAGACAACACACCAGACCCCAATAATACTTGTAAGCCACAAAATGGAACAGTTTCAACGTTCAACTTGAAGGCTTACAGTCTACCTACCACCCAGTGAGATGCCATGTGATACAAACTCCAAAGCAAAATGTATTACACCGTGTCTTAGCAGTGAAACGCACTAACATGGACCAAACGGGGCATGCAACCCTACCTGCCTATGAATCATTCACCGCACTGAGATAAGCTGACCAAGGTTAGGTACTGAAGTGCTGGGCTATCGGCTGATTGTTTTCCTTCTCTCTCTCTCTCTTTTTGGTAATGGAATTGAACACACAACCTTGCACTTACCAGGCAGGCGCTTAGGCCACTGAGCCATAGCCTCAGCCCCAGCTAACTGTTTTTCAAGATATTTAAAAGTTACTTTGAGCTGAGGATTTAGCTCAGCAGCACAGCACCTGCCTGGCAAGCACAAAGTCATGAGTTCAATCCCCGGTACCAAAAAAAAAAAAAAAAATTTGCCCTTTTAATTTAAGCTAGAAGGAGAACAATCCTTGTTCTTTCACAAAAATAGTCTGTGTAAAACAATCTCTAATCTATAAGAGCTACTAAACAAATAAGCTCAGCAACACTTACCACATGGTCAACATACAAATTAAATTTCAAATATTACAGAGTCAATATATAAATCAAATGTTTACGTATTAGCAATGAACAACTGTAAAATGACCCTTATTTTGGAGCTGGGAACGGAACCCAGGGCCTCCTGCCTGTTAAGCACTTGTTCTACCATTAAGCTACACCCTCAGGCCTGCTGAAACTGAAAGTTTTAAAAGTGTTATTAACCAGGCCGGGGATTTAGCTCAGCAGCCTAAGTGCCTGCCTAGCAAGTGCGAGGTGGTGAGTTCGATTCCTGGTACTAAATAAATAAATAAAAAGAATGAAAGTATGATTAACCACAGCACTAATAACATGAACTACTTAGCTGTGAAGCTAACAAAATATGTCCAGAATCTGTATATTAAAAACTAAAAAAACTAATTAAAGTACTCAGGAACTAAATAAATGGAGTAATAAACACACTGTGGATCAAGAGACCTGGTATAGTTGGATGTTAGATCTCCAATACTAATCTGTAGGTTCAGGGCTGTCCTGTTCAAGCAGGAATTTAAAAAAGGACGCACACTTTGTCCAATGTGAAAGCAAAGGAGGTGAATGTCTCAGAGAAAGAATGAACCCAGAGGACTCAAACCGACTCATTTCAAAACTTACTTTCCAGCGATTAATAGTGTTGCACTAGAGAAAATTCCGACACACAAATCAAATGACAAAAATGTTAGAGTCCAGAAACACTTCATTTCTTAACAAAGTTACAAAAGTGACTCAATAGAGAAAAATCTTTTCAGCAAATTATTTTAGTTTTTTATTTTTGTTTTTTGACTCAAGGTCTTGCTCTGTAATTCAGGCCTTAAAGTCAATATGTAGCCTAGGCTGGCCTCGAACTTGCTGTGATCCTCCTGCCTCAGCCTCCCAAGTGTTGGGATTACATGCATGCATCACCATGCCCTACACAACAAGTGATTTTAGAACAATTACGTATCTATACTGGGGGGCGGGATCAAAAGACAAAATAGTACAGACAGACCCCACCTTGTACAAAAAATACATGCAAACAGCACATCTAAATGAAATGCTTGTACTCAGAATATGCAACAAGATAAGAATATAAAAAGATGTGACCAGGCCACAAGGTCAGCTCAGCAGTACAGGGTTGCCCAGTGCAACTGAAGCCCAGTGCTCCATCCTCACAACTGCAAAAACCAACACCAAAAACCATGCGCCATTAGGGACAACATTTGCTCAGGGGCAAATGGGAAGAGCAGGACGGGGAACCATTCAAGCCAAGTTCTCCTCATCTGTGAAACACCCACTAACACCATGACCAGTTTGGACCCCATGTCTAAGTCTCTTTTCTGGGCCTCAGTGCTAAGACTTGGGGAGCTTAGTGACACCCATTTATTCAGAAGAGAGGGCAGCTGAGCAGGCTCGGGTTTCCCCAAGATCTTGATAAACACACGAGTCACCCACTTCGGTCACCCAGACACAAGGCCAAAGAGGCTCCTTCTCAGCAGCTGCCCCTGGCCTCAGAGGGTGGAGAGAGCAGCTCTGCCAGCACGCAGCTCAGGCTGCCGCAGCAGCAGATCCACAAAACATCACCGTGACCCTGGTGGGTGCTGCTGCTGAGTTAGAGAATCAAGTCCATCTGTCCAAGCTTAGAAAAGCCAATTGGAAAATCTCCTTTCACTGCTGTGTGTGCAGCCCGCTGGTTGGAGGCAGCTGGGCTGGGGCCACCCGCTAGCTCTCTTCCCCCTCAGGTGCCAGCATGAGGAGTCTGAGTACGAGTGAACGGCCTGGCTTCCCCTGCCAGCCCTGCCCACTGCCTCGCTGTTCCCTCCAGCCTTGGAAGAGGGGCGCTCCTCAGGCAGAGAAAGCTATCACATACACCTCAAGCACTCACTCACCCGGGGTCAGGACCAGGGCCACCCCACGGGGAGGCACTGGCAAATGAACAGCCCACTGCACCACCTGATGCGAGGCTTGGCACAGCAAGACAGGGTGACGGCAAAGCTGCCACTGCTCCCACGGGGCCCACACTTACCGTAATCACAGGTAGGCTGGGCGCTGGTGTCTGAGTACGTGGACTGCAGAGTGGTCTCAGATCCCTGGACAAAGCCTAAACACATGCACAGGGCGGTTAATTTCCCAGATGAGCACAGGAAGCTGGCGAAACAGCTCTTGGCACACATGCTGGCTAGCGGTGCCTCCTCTTGGCCAGAACCCCCAAAACCTCTAGGTTCCACACTCCAGTTAGACCCGCTGCCCCTGTTAACTGTGGAGCGGCAGGCCAAGGTTACCATGCTACCAAAAGGGCGAGGGAAGAACTCCTCAGCAGCGCAGCCAAGGAAGCACTGCAATAAGTGATCACCGTGTTATCCCTCAGCTTAATCCGGAAAACACTCCCATCAAATCACTGTCAGGCACGCCACCACCACCAAGCCCAAGAGGAGGGGCTGTTCAGTGGTGACACTAAACCCCAAAATATACCCCCACCTCGCTCCAGTCGGAAGCAGAAACTGCTTCACATTTAGTTTCTCCCATTTAAAAGTGCAGAGTACTTTTTATTTTATTGCACTAGGGATACAATCCAGGGCCTCACAGGTATAAACAGGTACCACCTGACCAGGACCTTCAGTGGCAGTTGTGCTTGGTTTTATTTTGTGAGACAGGGTTTTGCTGTAATTCAGGCTAGCCTTGGGCTCACTGTGTAGCCCAAGCAGGGCGGCCTCGAACTCAAGGCAACCCTCCTGCCTCAGCCTCCCAAGTGCTGGGATGGCAGGAGTGATCACAATGCCCAGTCTATACGTGCTGTTTCTTAATGTAACCTTTTGGTGTCTGGCATATTTACATGAAGATAGTAAGCATCCTACCGTACCCAGGCAATTATCTCTCATCCAAACAAACTCCAAAACTGATGCCACATGCCACAAGTAAAAATCCCACACCTGATGCGAGGTACACCAAGTTTACCTCACAGAAGCACCTTCAAGCTACGTGCAGAAGGCACACATGAAAAGGGTAAACGTCTTGTGTACACTTAGGTTCTCCAGGGTATTCCATTGAGTATATGAAATTCAAACTGCAAAAAGCTTTCTGAAATCTGAAAGACTCTGGCTCCAAGGCTTTGGAGAAAGGACTCTTGGACCTGTAATGGTACAAGTCACTATGTACTTAAACTCTCAGTCCTGATGTGGCGGTGCCTACCTGCGATCCCAGTACTTGGGAGCTAAGGCAGGAGGTTTGACATGACTTCAAGGCCAGCCTGAACTACACTGTAAGACCTTGTCTCAAAAACAAAACAAACCCCTCTCAAACTGCTTCTCCACTGAAAATGACTTAGTGCCACATAGAAAGGCTTAAAGTTGTCAGAAACCACTGCCCTGAATGACTGATGGCACGCAGGTGGCGCGGCAGTGCACACCATAATCCCAGTGCTGGGGCTGAGGTGGGGCACAGGCAGAGGTGCCCCAAGGCCAGAAGCCAGCCTAGGCTGCACAGGGAATTCAAGGATAGCCTGAACCACAGTGAGACCGCGTCTCCAAAGCCAAAACAAGCTGGTCCTAGGGATACACACCTGCAATTCCAGATGCCTAGGGCCTGAGGTGGGAGTAAGGCAAGTTTGAGGCCTGCCTGGGCAGCAAGGCAAGACCAGTCACAAAAAGGGGACGGAGATGTGGCTTAGTGCTCCGGGCTACAATCCCCAGAATCAAAGAGAATAAGCACTTTATCTGTGTTTGAATGTTTTACAATACACAATGATTACATTCACTGTATCTCTTCCCCTTCCCTCCACCTCGATCCCTATCCCATTTGCAAAACATCTCCACTTCCCATTGCAGTGTCTTTTATTTAGCTCTTTATTAATCCCTTGGGTTTCCTGTAGGAGAAACCATGCAGTATCTAAGCCCGTGCATCCGATTTAGTTCCCTTAACACGGGGCCTCACAGTCCGCCCGATTCTCAGATGATTCGTCTTCATCCTCACAGCACAGCAGTCTCCTCCATGCACAAGCGCTGCATTTTTCCATGCATGTCTGATGGGCACACGGAGAGGCGGCTGCTAGGAGTCACACTGCAGGGAACACGGGTGTGCAGGCAGCACTGTGATCCGCAGCAGCAGCAACAGCACACAGAGCCACACGTGGGCCAAACGGTACCCCACTGCTGGGGGAGCCCCTCCGTGCTGTCCCCACATCGGCGACACGGAATGGCTCCTTCCCCAGAGCCTCTGCTGTTTCCTGACTGCCTGGTGACAGCCGCTCTTTCAGAGTTAACAAGATTTCAGGGCTTTTAACAGGCGGTTTCTATTATGTGTCTATTCACATTGGTTGCCCATTTTTGGACAAGGTCTTTCCATTTTGGGGGGGATCTAATCTGTTTTGAGTGCTGTATATATTCTAGGCCAGGTACTCTGTCAGGAAGTACTCAACTCAGAGATCTGCCTGCTTCGGCCTTCTGCACATGGGATTTCCGGCATGCACCACTGTGCCCAGCTGAATAATAATCATCTGACTTCTTTTCCTCTACATATCCTTTGTATTCCTTCCCTTGCCTAACTGTCAAACTATATTTTAAAATACATTTTTTTTTTTTGTCTTTTTCATTTTTATCGGTACCAGGGATCGAACTCACGACTGCCTGCTTCCAAGGTAGGTGTTTATGCCGCTGAGCTAAATCCCCAGCCCCTAAAATACATTTTAAATGCTTTGGTCTCATTCTGAAATCCATGGAGATTAGCATCTGCCTCTTCTTAGAGAAAGCTCAACGTGAAAAGTGGGTGCTTCCATTAGCTCACTTACTGCAAAAGCATGTACATACCAAGTACCTTCTCCGTGGGCAGGCACCCCCATGTTTCCTGACAGACTCTGCTTTATCCCTTAAAACCACAGCAACAAACATGACAGCAGACAGCCAGTAACAGTGACCAAGTGCTGCCCTTGCAGGGCGCTAATCTCAGCTGACCCTTACCTAGGTCAACACAGGGGGACTGGGCAAGATGCCCTGTGATTCCCAAGGTCCGCAAAGGTCTGAAACTACTGTGGTCTCCATAGCAACGTTGCCAAAGCTCAGGTTGGTGCTAAGCACACCCATGAGGACATTTACAGTCTTCATCTTCCTGGGGGCAGGATTAATGTGGCTTTGCTTCATGGTGTGGGGCTGAACGCAGGGTTTCCAAGGGCTAGGCCTGGCCCTCTCCCACTGCGCTTACCTGCAGGGCACTTCCTGGACCCCTGTGGATGGGTGTGTGTGGCTGGGAATCAATGTCTCTTTCCTAACCCACCGAGGGGTGAATGGAGCCTGGGCGCTGGGCGAAGGTGAGTCCACAGATCCAGCGCTTTGTGCCCTCTTTAACCAAAGGAGAAAATGTGAATGGACTCTTTCCGGGGATCAGGGACCTTCCTCAGACACCCACATTCCATGTATTGGTGATTTCAGTATTAAAGAAACCTTAAAAGTACTCTCTGGAGAATTCGCTTACAGAGAAGCCTTATAATGTAAGAAGTACCAACCCTGTTGTTTACACAGCTAGCTTCTGGAAACCCTTCTCTCCTGCAAAAGAGCTGCTACCAAAGTGCTCTTGGCTTTTTAGGGAGGGTCCTTTCTTCCTTCCTTTAAGGTGGAGTTTTGCTTAAAAAAAAAAAAAAAAAGGCCCAGCTACATTGGCCAGGCTGGCCTTGAACTCCGGGGTTTCAAGTGACCCACCTGCCCAAAACTCCAAGTAGCCAGGACTACGGGTGTGCACCACTACACCCGGGGACACAATGTGGGGCCCTGGTTCCAGGACAACCGCCCCTAAGATTGGCCGAATTCACAAGTGCTTAAGTCCCTTACATAAAATGGCACCGTCTGTGTGACTCCGCACACACACCGGAGACCACATGTGAGATCCTATGCATATAAATATCGCGTGAGTAGGTGTCATGCTGCGCTGCTGGGCAATGATAACCAGAAAAAGTACACAGTCGGTACAGATGCCGTTTTCTTTTCTAAATGTCTTCTTCTTGTGGGGAGAGGAACGAGACAGGGCTCCACCGTGTAGTTCACACTGGCCTTACAATGACTATGCAGCCCAGGATGGCCTGGAACTCATGGTGACCCTCTCGCCTCCGCCTCCCTAGTGCTGGGGAAAGAGGGGTGCGACAGGACGCCCGGGTCTTTTCTGGGTATTTCCAACCACCTATTGGTTGAATACATGAACTCAGAACCTCTGATTACAGCGGGAGCCGCTGGAAGCCTCTGTATTCTGAGACACACACAGCCTGGAAGGCAGGCATGGTAGTCCACGTCTTGTAATCCCAGGACGCAGGGAGGCTGAGGCAGTAAGATTATAAAGTTGAGCCGGATGTGAGACTCCGCAAGACCCTTTCTCAAAAACAAATAAAGGAGCTGGAGATGTAGCTCCCTGGAGAGGTCCTAACTTCAGTCTCCAGTACAAAATCCACACGGAGGAGGGCAATAAGCAGGCTGCAGGGCAATCATCCATGTTGATTCAGGGGAGAGGGCCTGGTTCCTTCCCCGAGAAACAAAACTGAGTGGTGCGGTCCAGCGGTAGACCATTAGCAGCGCAGGCCCTGGGGTCCACCCAGCACGCTGAGGGAGTGCTGGGACCCAACACACCCAGCAGACCTTTTTCTTCTTGGTACTGGAAACAGAACTCACAGCCTCACACCTGCCAGGCAGGCACTGTGCTGGTGAGCCGCATCCCCGCTGTCGGACCTTTAGAGATCAGTGACAATCTCTGCTCTTGGACTGGCTTCCCATTAATACCCAACTCCACAACTCGGCCTCTCTCTCTGTTTGGGGTTTTTGGCGGGGAGTGGAGACTGCTGTTGTTCTTACTACGGAGTTCAGGCTGGCCTGGAACTCACTATAATCCTCCTGCCTTGGCCTTTCAAGTGCCGCAACTACAGGCCTGGGTGACCATGCCTGGCTGCAGGCCTTTCATGGAGCCAATCACGACTCCTATTATGAATACACTGCTGTTTTTAAAGACATTTCACGGGGCTGGGGATTTAGCTCAGCGGCATAAGCGCCTGCCTTGGAAGCAGGCAGTCGTGAGTTCGATCCCTGGTACCGATAAAAAGGAAAAAGAAAATAAATAAAGACATTTCATTAGTGTATGCTTGTAGTACATTCATCCTGGGGAACTGGCACGTGGATATGACCCGCAGTAACCCTTCCTACCCCCCCTTCTTTCCTGCTTCCCCTAACGCTGAATAAACCGTTATCTCTGATTTATGATACTTTCTTCTTGATTCAGTTTTCCAGCATAATTAGCCGAATGGAAATAATAAGCCTTGTTTGGTCCTGAGGGCCTAAGAGTCAGGCCATAGGATTGTTTTTTTTTTTTTCTTTCCTTTCTTCTCTTTTGTCTTTTTGAGACAGGGTCTCACTATGTCATTTAGACTCCACTTGAGCTCATTTTGTAACCCAGACTGGTCTCAAACTTACAATGATCCTCCTGCCTCAGCCTCCAGAGTGCTGAGATTGTAGCCGTGCACCACCATGCCTAGAGTATAGGTTTCTAATTCTGCAGCGTAATCCATCCCTCCTAGTCAACCTTTCTGTCATCCTTTCTACTCAAAAAATAAAAACATTTTTTATTTTATTTTTATTTTTTGGAGAACTGGGGATCAAACTCAAGGCCTTCACAATGAGCTACATCCCAGGCCGTATTTTTTGTATTGAGACAGTCTTGTTAAATTGCTAAATTCCCCAAACTGAGTTTCAACTTATAAGCCTTCTGCCTCAGCCTCCCAGAATGCTAGGATTATACATGCACCCATCAAGCTCAGCCTGACAGAGTATTTAAAGGAATGCAATCTGGTAACAAAAATTAAGAGAACAAATGGAATCAGGTTAGGTTCCCTCCCATGTCTACCATCTGAGACAAGCACAGGATGGGGAACAATTTGTGAGCCGGCCTCCACTGATGCCCTGCCTTCTGAGACAGCGCAATCCTCTCCCAAAATAATAGAGGCAACTATACTCTGTGGAAAAGCCACAGAGTATAACTCCTGAGACTTCTGCCTTGTTGTTTCTTGGATCATTCAGTCTGTGGGGAAGTAGTCGCCATGCTGTTAGGGTTTCTCCAGCAGCCCCACACAGAGGTCCATATGGTGAGAAACCACAGCCAGCCTCTATCTGCCAGACGCTGGAGTCTGAGTCACTCTGCAGGCGGGTAGCAGCACCAGGCAAGCTTTCAGATGACAGTCTCAACTGATACCCTAAATGCCACCCAAGCCAGACTTCACTCGGCTGCACCAACTGTGCGTTCCTACCGCAATAAACTGGTTGAGACAACAATCGCTGCTATAAAGACAGGTAGCATTTCAGACCTTTGCATGAAGGCCTGATTATTTTGTCTGCCCTGTTGTTCTTCTGCCTCCACCTCCGCCTCTCAGCGCTAGAAATAAAGCCTCCTTTCTCAATTATAAAGTAACCAGATGCCAAGCATTGTGGCACACACCTATAATTTTAGTACTGAGAGGCTGAAGCAGGACTGCAAGCATGTATGACGCCCAGGCAATCTTGCAACACCTTGTCTCAAAATTTAAAATGGCAATGATGATGATGATGTTGACTGCTGATGTAGCTTAGTGGTAAGGTCCTGCATTTGAAGCCTAGCACCAAAAAAACGGCACCTGGGCTGAAAAGCTGGGTGAGTCAATATTACATTTGCTTCATCTTCCAGGCCTTACCTCTGAAGGAGAGTCATCGGGAATGTGACTTAAATGCCTGTGAATGTAATAATGGTCTGCCACTGCTCCTTTTAGAGGGTGGGAAAAGAGGCAGCTAGGTATGGAACCCAGGGCCTCTCACACGCTAGGGCCAGGCAAATGTTCTACCACTGACATACCCCACAGCCCTGGTCTACTTTCTAAAAAAGAAAGGCGAATATCACAAAGCTACTTGTTGTTTTCAGTTTATCAAGATAGAGAAAAAACTGGGGCTGGGGATTTAGCTCAGCGGCATAAGCACCTGCCTTGCAAGCAGGCAGTCGTGAGTTCGATCCCCGGTACCGTTAAAAAGTTAAAAAAAAAAAAAAAAAGATTGAGAAAAAACTAATGGTTACCTTATCAGCTTGGCTACCTGAATGGCCACCAAACTAAGAATTACAGCTTATGGGGCCTGGAGCTGAAACTCAGGCGTGGCCATTAATTCATTTTCCTCATCTATAAAAAAAGTAAGTGCCCTATTATTAAGCTATCCTACAACATCCAATCATTCATCTTCTGGTTTCTTCAGCAGTCCATCCCTCAATACACAGAACTATCTTTAGTTCTTGGAAGGACATAACAGAGAATTACATCTCAGTTCTGGAGATGTCAGAAACAGTCCTAGTGACTTTAACTGCAATCAGGATAGGAAGGTTCCAGCCTGGAGGCTTCGCCTTGTCACTACTGGTGTCTGGGCTGGGTTTTGTTTGTTTTTGTTTTTCTTTTTTGGTGATAGGGTTTCACTTGCAGTTCAAATTGGCCTTGAACTTTGTAGCCGAGGCTAGAAACTCGTAGCCATCTTCCTGCCTCAGCCTCCCGAGTGCTGGGATGACAGGAGTGGGCCACTACGTTGGGCACTACTGACTTGTTTGGGACCAAAGGCGCTGGGGCTGTCCTTTGCATAGCAGCATTTTGAGCAACTAGCCACTAGATGTCAGCAGTGGCCCCGACTCCTAGATAAGACTACCACACAGGCCTCCAGAAGATGCCAAACGTCTCCTGGGGTGGAGACTTCTCCCTCGTTGAGAACCCTGGGCAGGGAGCCCGCTTGAATAACTAGGTTCTTGGCAAGCTCCAGATCCGGGGGCCAGGACAGGAAGAACATAAAAGAGCCTACAGAAGAGCCGAAGGCTCAGGTCCTACTCCCAGCCTTGAACGTTCCGGGTAGAACGTAGGTAACCCAGCAACCAGTACGTTCCAGCCTAAAATACCCAGCCGAGTACAGGGGGCAGTGTACAATGCTGGCGGAGAAGCGCATTGGTCGCGGCCGAGGCGAATCCCAGGCGGCCTTGGCAATTCACTCCAAGCTGACTTACAAACATCTGGGCGGGGAAGCGGGTGGAGGGTTCTCTTTGATCTCTATCACCCACCTTCCTCCTTCCTTACGCCCCACTGCCTCACTGGCGGATCCTCCGCCGGGCCCGCCCGGTCCACCTTAATCTCCCCACCCCTACGCTTAGGTCTCTCTTCGCAGAGATCGTGTAACTGCAGCCCGTCCGCGTTGATTTACTCACAAAGGGCTCCCCGCCTAGAAACTACTCCAGGACAATTCTTGTCAACATCACCAGAGCCTTTAGTGCACCTGACTCGACAAATGCGACAGCGGCCGCGAGAACCGAGGCCGTCGAAGCAGGTCGCCCTCGCCCCGATTCAGGCGCGGTCCCTACGGCCCCGAGGCTCCCCCGTTCCGCTCAAACCCTCACGGGTTCGCGGATCCTCCGGGACGGGCGCCTCTGTCTCAGCTCGGGGGCACGAGGAGCTGCGCATCCCGCAGCGAAGCCGCGCGGGGGAGGCCGGGGCGGTGGAGACTGCAGAGGAGCCCGCTGCATGATCTCAGACGCGAGGCCAGGCCTGAAAAACAACGGCTCGCGGCGTCCGCGCCCGAGAAACCCCGGCCGGGGACGGAGGTGCTGGTAGGCGAGGTGACCTCAGCGTCGAGACCCTCTGGGGCCTACGGCCACAGGCGATAGAAGCCAAAGTTTCAGGGGACCGGGAGCCGGACACCAAGCTATGAGCGCAGCGGGCCGAGGCGCCCGATGTGAGGGGCGCAACCTGGCGGCGACGGGCCCACGCGGCGCCATTTTGTGACCGCAGAGGGCAGTGACCCGCGCGCCGGGGCGATGTGAGCCAGCCCTGCACAGCCCCGGCACGTCCCTGTCCTGACCCTCCACCCCAAGCGCCCCCCACCCTGTGGGCCCACCTGTGTAGCTCATGACGGCGGCGGCGGCGACACTGCACCCGCAGACCCTGACAGCAGCTCTCCGCGTCCAACGCCGCTATAGCGGCAACAATCCTCAGCCCCTTCTACACACACATAGTCTCAACCCCGCCTCTCGACCGCATTGGTTTCCTCCGGTCACGGACTTCATGCCCATTGGATTACCTCCCTGTCTATCTTACTATTTCCTCGTACTAGTGGCCGAATATTCTGCCAGTCTTATTAGAGCCCCGCGCTACACCCGCCTTCCGTTATCCTCAACCCACGTTGATTGGTCAAAATGAGGCAGCGCAGAGGTGGACTCTCGCAGGTTCGAAGGGGCGGAGCTATGCACTTGGGGAAGGCCCAAGACCCAAGAGTGGCTGAGAGATAGGTGTGCCTGCATCCTAGAGACCCGCCAGAGGGAATTGACACAACAACGCAGGGGATTGTTCAGATTCCTAGCGGTGCCACAGAAATGCTGAGTAGGCCAGGCGTGGTGGCGCACGCCTGTCATCCCTGTCATCCGAGCACTCAGGAGGCCGAGGCAGGAGGATCACCGTGAGTTCGAGGCCAGCTTGGGCTACACAGCAAATTCAAAAGACATCACTGTGGTACAAGATGCACTACATACATTTGCTTATCACTGTGTTGCATACTGAATAATGTACATATCTGTAGGGACTGCTTGCCTGGCATGTATGAGTCCCTGAATTTGATTCCTAGCACTGAAAAAAAAAAAAAAAGAAAAAAGAAAAAAGTCAGTGTATGTAAAGTATATATATATATATATATATATATGGCATGTTTTGTTATATATGTAATAAATCTATTTGTATTATGTCTCATCTCAAATGTTTCCTGACACCTGAAGAGATCTTTTCCTTAAAAGTCCTCCACTTAGCCGGGGGGTGGGGGGGGGGGGTGGGGGGGGGGTGGAGCACACCTGTAATTCCAACACTCAGAAGGCTGAAGCAGGAGGTTCACTGCAAGTCTGAGACCAGCCTGGGCTACAAAGTCAGCTTAAGTCTGAACTGCACATCGAGACCCTGTCTCAAAAAGACTATATAAATAAATAACCTCCCTCCTTTAAAAGATAACAAAACTGAGACTTGGGATTCACAATTTGCTGAAGTTTCCTAAGACTCTCCTGCGGCCAGGGATATATAGTTCAGTGGCACAAGGGCCTGCTTGGCAAGTACGAGGTCATGAGTTTGGCCCCATGTACCAAAAAATCATAAAATAAAATAAAGCCCTCTTGGTTGGGCTGGGGGTTTAGCTTAGAGGCAGAAGCCCTTGCCCAGCAAGTGTGAGGTCAAGATTGATACTGATACCAAAAAAAGAAAAAACCCTCTTGGTTTATTCTGCATTTTAGAGATGCTGTAATAGTGTGGCCAGGGCTGAGGACTCAGTGGCAGAGCCTTTGCCTAGCACATGTGAGGACTTGGGCTGAACTCTCAGCACCACAGGAAAAAACGGGGCAAAAGGAAACCTAGTGCCATGTGACCCAAGGCCAGCTTCTCCATGAGCTGATCTGTGGGAGCTGTCGTCAGGACATGTCATCATTTCTGAGGACTGACAGAAGGTCAGACACTGAAAATGGCACTTAGCATGTTTGCAAAAAAGCAGCAGGCTGTCCAAATATGACAGGTGCATTATTTTGTATGGGGTTTTTTGGGGATTTTTTTTGGTAGTAGGGATTGAACTCAGGACCTTGTGCTTGCTGGACTGGGGCTTTGCTGCTGAGCTAAATTTCCAGCCCTTGTTTTATTTTGAGACAGGGTCTCGATGTGCAGTTCAGGCTGGCCTTGAGCTCACTTTGTAGCTCACTTTTAGCTCAGTCTGGTCTCGAGCTCCCAAAGAACCTCCTGCCTCAGCCTCCAGAGTGCTGGGATTACAGACATGAGCCACCATGCCTGGCTCCCTTGGTATGTGTGTGTGTGTGTGTGTTTGTGGTACAGGGGACTGAACCAAAGGCCTTGCACCGAGTTCCATCTCTAAGCTTTTTTTTTTTTTTTTTTTTTTTCATTTTGACACAAGGTCTTGGTAAGTCATCCAAGGTGAACTCAAACTTTCGATCCCTTTTCTTTGGCCTCTGTGTGCAGGCATCACAGGTCACCATTTTAAGTATAAGATGGCCCTTTAGTTTTTGCTTTTGTTCTGAGACAGGGTCTTGCTATGAAATCAGTGTTTGCTTTGAACTCATAAGGAACAGTGGTTCAGGCTAGTCTTGAACTCACAAAGATCCTCCTGCTTCAGCCTCCCAAGTACAGAGATGACAGCCATGCACAGCAGCCGGCTATAGTAACATTTTTTTTATTATTTATTTTTTGTCTTTTTCGTTTCTATGGGTACCAGGGATCGAACTGACGACTGCCTGCTTGCAAGGCAGGCGCTTATGCCGCTGAGCTAAATCCCCAGCCCCTATATAGTAACATTTTCAAAAGCCCGTGTCATACTCAGTGCTGTGGCACATGCCTGTGAATGCGGCACTGAAGAAAACCGAGGTAGGAGGGTCACAAGTCTGAGTCCCACCTGGGCAACTTAGTGAGACCTTTTCTCGATACAGGGGATGTAGCAGAGTGGCAGAGCACCCTGGGCTTACATCTCAGTACTCGGAAATAAAGAGCACATCTCTCTCAGAGAAATGGGAGATGGACTGAGGATCTGACGGCGGGACCAAGGAGAAAGAGGAGGTGAGGAGGTGCAGCGTTAGGGTGAGGTCTCCATCTGGTAATAAAGGCTGGGCCCTTTCACCTGTGTTTGTTCTCTATCTTTGTGCAGCTGGAGTTCTGCGTGATAAAACGTCTTAACAAAGCCCCCAAGGAGGAGCTTGTGCGGAACTTACTGCCCAGGGAACACCACCATTACAACGTGCTAAGTAAAAACCCCAGGTAAGAAGGGTACAGAACTGGCACGCATCGAGGCTCTGCGTCTGTCTTTGTGTCACCTCAGGGGACTGGGTCACCTCCTACGGCTTCATCTGTGGCTCTGCCACAGCCATCGCTGCCCCTGAAGGTCTCCACTAGCATCCAATCACCTTCACAGAGGGGACAGCGGCTCAGAGGCTGAGACAACAGGGCGACTCAAGCAGAAGGGCTGTGCTCAGCAGTAGCAGGGACAGACCCATGGCCAGGGACACACCGCCATCGGTGTGCAAGGACACAAGAGCTTTCTTTCCACATCTGCCCTGTGTGACGGAGTTTTCAGAGAACTGGTGACAGAACGTACCTTCAGGTGGGCTCCTCGGCCCGTCTGCTCCGTCTGTGGCGCAGAGCGGGAGGAGGAGCCCCAGGCCGAGCTCACCATTGTGGGTGCCCTAACGTTGCCCGTTAAACCCCCTCCCCAGACCCAGCGCCATAGGAAGATCGAGAAACACCGGCTTGGTTAGAAGGCGCGCCTGCCGTCCATGCCCCAGAAGTCACTCCCATTTTCTAGGGTTTGGCCACGTAGGGAAAAGATTAGCTGGAAACCACATGCAATAAACAAGGAGCGTCCGAGGAAGTCACTTAGAACCTCAAACGTTTGGGAAACCCGTACAAGAACTGTAACAGCCCTTTCCCCTCGCTATTGGGGATCGTGGGGTGTATGTCTCATAGTTGGGCATCTTGGGGCTAGAGGTGTAGCTCAGTGGTAGGGTGCCTACCTGGTATGTCTGAAGCTCTGGGGAGGTCACCCTTCCCTGCAAGGTCCACACAAAACAAAAACTTTGTCTTTTTTGAGACAGGGTCTCACTGTGTAGCTCAGGATGGTCTCAAACTCACAGGCAATCTTCCTGCCTCAGCCTCCTGAGTTCTGGGATGACAGGTGTGCATCACTGCACCCAGCTCAAATCGTACACCTCAACACCAAGTGGGTCCCAGCACTGCCCACAAGCACACGCTTCCCCCACACGGACACCGTGAGCCCCTGGTACCCTCACTGGATGGCACCCACCTTCTGGAAAGCCTTCCTGACCTGCCCAGCCCCCCAGAACCCCGGTTCCTCTGCTCCAGGAGCTGCTTTGCCAGCCAACCAGAGCCACCCACCAGCTGTGGCCTAGAGGGCCAGCAGCTGCGAACCTGGGCTCAACCCCACCTATGTTGCGTCAACACAGCAGCCAGTGGGGGGAGACCCAGGAGCTCTGGGGCCCCATATTCCTGTCTGTGCCAGCCTGTCCACTTGACAGAAAAACACACGCTGGCCGCCTGCCCCAGGGTGTTTCCAGAAGAGAAATTTAATCTAATTTACATACTTCTAGATACATTGATAACCAAAAAACGTGGCCACTGAAAAAAGTTAAAAGGTCAATCAGCTCCCAGTATCTAGCTGGCCTAGGATTGGAAAATAAAAAGATCCACGTTCCTTCTTCTCTACACAAAATGCGTTTTTAAAAAAGTGAAAGTTCTAGGGAGCTATACATAGAAAGCAACAGTGAAAAGAGGGGGAGCAGGTGGGGAGAGGAGTCCCACCCCCACCCACCCTCCCGGCCCCAGAGCCCCTGAGGCTGGGGGTTGACATGGCAGGAGGCAGCTGTCAGCTCTGAGCTCTTCCCCAGGGGAAGGCCCTTCTGGGGGTGGCCAAGGATTCCGTGGCGTTGTGGGCTCAGTCGGGGCTCCCGCAGAGGGAGCAAGGCTTCCCCTGAGCGAGCACCGTGGCGCGACGCAGCTGTTCGACGCGGGAACGAGGGGCTGGGGGCAGATCCCGGCTCTCACGAGGTGCGTGTGCAGGTGTGTGTGTTGTATGTTTGCATGTGCGTGTATGAGAAGATATGCATGGGCAAAGGGGAGCCACAACAGGGGTCTTTGGGGTCTCTAAGAATGGCCCCGGACAGCAGACGCAGCCCTGCCCGTCTGCCGGACACAGAAGGCTGCTGTCCTCCTGCGACCCGGTCAACTGCCATCAGGGACTCGGCTGCAGCCCCTGCTGGGCCGGGGAGCGTGAACTGGAGGAGGTGCCCTGTGCCCCGGAGTCCTGGGCTGGGGTGGGCGGCTCGCGGCTCCTGGCACCCCAGCTGTAGTGTGCCCGGCCCCTGAGGGTGCCGGTTTGAGGTTTTGGCTTGCTCCTTTGGAAATGGAAGAGAAAGGGAAAGACAGGGAAGAAGACACGGGAGGAACAGGAGACGGAGGCAGCAGGGGAGAGCTCTGGAATGCTTCTGTGTTAGGGCGCCTCCACAGACGCCGCCGTCTGTGCCTGCGGGGCTGGGAGCTCCTCGGGCAGGGGCTCCGCCTTGGAGAAGTTCATCTCCAGGATGTGCCGCTGTAAGTGCCGCACCCATTCCTCCTGGATGGAGAGCGGGCCCTGGAACTCCACCTCGCAGAACCTGCATGTCGGGACAGAGGGGGGCACCAGCGTGAAGAGAGGAGACTCCTTGAAACTTTGACCTTGTGCCCGGGCACACCTGCCACCCCCGTGGAGACATAGCACACCGGGTCTGAGGGCAGGGGCCGAGGAAGGAAGCCAGGTGTCTCCCAGAGACCCTCTGCCACCTAAGCCAAGATGCAAAGAGATACAGCCTGCCCAAGTCATGAGACCTTTCCTCTTTCTCTCAGGGACCCGGAGGTGTGTGGCTCCGAAGAACTGGGTTTAAATCTGACTTTGCCCTGGTTTTGTTGAGGTGGGGTCTGTGTCATTTGGGCTGGGGATCGATCTTCCTGCCTCAGTCTCCAGTGTGCTTCGATTACAGTCATGCACCAGCCTGGCCTGAACCCTCCTGCTGACCTGCCCGTGGCGTCCGAGGTGAGTCACCTCACGTCGCCAGACCCAGTTTCCTGGTCTCTGACGTACACATGGACTTTGATAAGAATGAACTCGAACCTGTTTTTTTTTTTTTTTAATCTAACAAATATTTGTCAAGAGCTTACCAAATGCCAGGTATGATAACTCATAAGTGTTTAACTATTAAACAAATTCAGTCCACTCCTGTAATTCTAGGACTAAGGAGGCTGAGGCAGGAGGATCGCCACAGAACATACTGAGTTCAAGGCCAGCCTGAACTGCATAAAAAGCACTGTCTCAAAGTCTCAAAGAACCAAAAAAGAAAACTGAAACAAAAAACACTAACTTAAGGGCTGGAAACGTAGTTCAGTGGCATAAGCACCTGCCCTGCAAATGCGTGGTAGTGAGTTCCATCCCTAGCACCAAAAAAAAAAAAAAAAAAAAAAAAAAAGCCACCAACTTGGTCCTATCAAAATCTACTGGGCAGGTGGGGAAATCTACACATGGAGAAAGTGCCTCCTTGCTTCAGAGACTAAGCTGGAGAGTCAGGGTAAGGATTTGAACCCAGGTCTTGCTGGGGATAAAACTCGGGGCGGGGGTGGGGTGGTGGTGGTTTGCCCTGAAGGTCTGAGGTGCAGCATCTGTGAATGGCTGTTAGCCTGGCCCTCATCACACCCGAGGGGGGACAGCCCGAGAGGCCCGACCACCGGATTGCTGCCAGCCGGCCCTGTGCACGTCCCAGGGCCAAGGGCAGCTGGGAGACCTCCCACCCCAGGGGCAGCGTACCTGCACTTGAGGGTGTAAATGTTGCCAACGAATTTGACGAGTGATGTCTGCGGCGGTCGAGGCACCAAGGAGGGGACGGGCCGGACGCGGGCTGGGGGCTGCCGCACGGCTTCCAGCTTGTGGTGCAGGTCACTGGCCTCCTCGGCCCCCCGGGCTGCGGCGGCGTCGGGGGGGCGGGCCTGTCTGCGCTCGAATTCTGGGGTGGAGAGGGTGGGGTGAGCGGCGGCGGGCGGGCCTCGGGGGCACCTGCGGGACCTGCGGGACCGCGCTCCCGGCCGGCGGCCGGCGACACTCACTGTTGATATTCTGCCGCTGGTGCTCCTCCGCCTTCACCGCGCCCGGCGGGCTGGCTGCCAGGGGCCGCTCGCCGCCTTCGGCCGCCCGGCCGGCCTCGGGCCCCGGCTCCCCGCCGACGCCGCGGCCCACGAAGGCCAGGCCCCCGGGTGCCAGCCCCAGGGGCGGCCGCCGCTCGGCGTCGCGGCCGTGGCCGTGGCCGGCGCTGCGGAACTTCTTGGTGAAGGGGCGGCCGCCCTGGATGTAGCTGCGGTAGGCGCCCACCTTCTGGGGCCGGTGCTTGATCCACTCGCTCAGCGTCTCGATGGGCGAGCCGTTGACGCACCACTCGGTCACGCCGAACTGCCGCAGGTGCGCCCGCGCGTGGCTGGCCAGGGCCTTGCGGTTCTCAAAGTAGAGGCCGCAGAGCTCGCAGCAGGCCTCGGTGGCTGCGGGCAGAGGGGTGCTGCTGAGCGCGCGCCCCGCACGGGCGCCTCGGCACCCCACCTCCCTCGGGACCTCGCCTCGGCCCGCGGGGGCAGCGGGGTCTGCGGCGCTGCCTGGCCTGGGCGGCCCGGCAGACGCCCTCCCGGGACCCTGCCGCCCACTGCTTACAGGAGTGGGAGGTCTTCTCATGGAGGGTCTTTGCCTTGAACGGCAGTTCAGTCTGGATGTAGGTCTTGGCCTTGACCTCTGCGGGGAGGAGGCGGTCCTCCTGCAGGGGCCGCTTGGCTGCCACTGCGCCCAGGAAGCCGGTGGCTGAGGGCTTGGCGCCAGTGATGGGCGTCAGACTGAGCTCCCGGGGAACCTGGGCCGGCCCAGCTCCTGGTTTGCCCGGCCGGCCGGCCAGGGGCGACAGTAGCAGAGGGGACTGCACGGGCCCGGGGACCGCTGTAGGGGACCCATCCTCGGCCAAGGCGGGAGCCAGGTCCCCAGCCGGCGGCTCCTTCTTGATGAGGCACGGCTTGGACTTCTTCTTCAGGATCTCCCGCAGCGTGTCGATGGGCGAGCCGTTCACGGACCACTCGGTCACGCCCATCTGCCGCAGGTGGGAACGCGCGTGGCTCGACAGGCCCTTGCGGTTCTCGAAGAACTCACCGCAGAACTCGCAGCGGATGTCCCGTGCTGGCTCTGCCCGGGACGCTGCAGGGAGTCCGGGGGAGGGGGGAGAAGGAGGCGGCGGCTGCGGGCAGGAAGCCTCCAAGCTCGAGGCCCATGTTGGTGCCGGCTGCCCGGCTGCCCCTGTCCACGCCCCCGCCGCCCTCTGCCAGACTCCCGGGACCTGCTCCCTCATCCGGGCCTCTAGAGGCTCCGGTCATGTGCGCGGCCCTCCTGGTGCTCTGGCTGGCTCCAGGACGGCACCCTGTGTGATGCTGGGCCAGCCACTCTCCCTCTGCGAGCCTCCTCTGTAAGAGGAGATGGAAACCCTCACTTCCCAGACAGCCCGGGAAGGGCGAGATTGACAACAACTGAGATGGCATGGCACAGAGTCCCCACAGGGGTGCTGAGGCGCCGCAGGGGCTGTGTTCGCCTGCTGGGCTTACAGCAGGCACCAGGTCCACCCGAGTGGGACAGACTAGCGACGGTGTGAGAGCGAAGCAGGGGACAGTGACGTGGCGACAAGCACTGCAGAGAACTTTCTGTAACTGGACACTGCACTAAGTGCCCGAGCCCAGTGAACCCTGGGAAAACCGTGCAGAGGCAGGACCACGCTGATCTCCACCTTCCAAACCAGGAGACCTGCTAAAGGCCACCTGCTACTCAGATTCTGGAGAAAAAGGGATCTCAATGCAGGCTGGACTCCAAAGGCCAGGCAGCCCACTACAGGCACGTCAGGGAGGCATGGTTCAGACACCCGCTCCTGAGCCCTGTCTGTCTGCGCTGTCTCCCATGGCAGACATCACTAACTGATGCCTGCTGTCAGGTCTCCCGAGCAGCCCGCTAGGAAACCGCTGCCCATCAGTGGAAGATGGCACTGCTGAAGGACACGCTTCTGCCTTCTATGTACGAGCAGAGGGAGCCAGGCAGCAGCTGGATGGCAGGGGTCTGCAGAGCAGGACTGTGCAGCTGGCCTCCCTTCCGTTCAACCCTGGGCACTACGGGTACCCGCGAGGGGAAGCAGGGAGGAGACCCCGCCAGCTGTTCTCCCTGCCCTGCCACAGGGTCACACTTACACAGGTTCAAGGGTGTCATGTCCTCCCGCGGCGCCCCCCAGGGACCCTCAGATGGGTGCGGCTCCCCATGAAGGGCCCCCGGCAGCATCTCCCGCTTGATCTCCACCCGCATTTGTTCAGGCTTCAGCTTCCTGGGCAGGGAGGGTGTGGCCAGGCCTGAGAACATCTTGCGGGCCGTGGGAGGAGGAGAGGCAGTTGGTGAGTGGCCCAGGGGGCTGCCTGGTGGTGGTGGCAACTTCTTGGCCAAGGGTGAGATGTGAAGGTCTGAAGGACTTCGGGCTTCAAGCGAGCTGCCAGGACCTCCACTGCCCACCACCTTGGCCAGGGCTTTGGAGCTGGGCCCTGGAGGGTGGGGGTGTCCACCAGGCCGAGACTGGGTCCGTCTCTTCAGGATCTCTCGCAGCGTGTCGATGGGCGAGCCGTTGACGTACCACTCGGTCACACCCATCTGCCGCAGGTGGGAGCGCGCGTGGCTGGACAGGCCCTTGCGGTTCTCGAAGAACTCACCGCAGAACTCGCAGCGGATGTCCCGGGCAGGCTCTGGGCCGGAGGCTGCAGCAGGAGCAGAAAAGGGCAGTCAGAACCATGGGTGGTGGCGGCGTGGTCACCTGCAGGAGCGTCCTGGCTGGCTGGGCGTGGGTGGCAGCGCACTCACAGGCTAGGGCGGTGGTGCTGGAGGGCAGATGCAAGCTAGGGAGCTCAGGAGCAGGACAGGGGCCAGACACCCGGCAGGAGCGAGGGGAGGCTCTGGAGAGCCAGCAGGCCCTCAGTCCTGGCGGAGGAGAGCAGAACCTGGCTCTGTGGGTCCCAACAAGGACAGGATGGGAGGGCCGGAAGTGGCCACCCGCCATCGAGACCAGGGGCAGATGTGGGTACCACTGTACCAAACAACCAGACCCTGCCCTTGGCCTTCATTCTCGGAGAGGGTCACAGTAATGGAGATCGAAGGCCAAGAGAGGGCAAAGCAGCCCGCTGCCAACAAGGTCTCTGGGCAGAGCCAGCCACTGCCAAGGGCCCTGTCTACTCCCTGCCCCCACACGGAGGGAGTAGGGGGGGCTGTGACCTCCCCCGGGAGGGGCTCCAGGGCCCACAGGGAGGAGGGGGCGGCTGAAGCGAGAACCTACAGAGGTTGAGAGGAGACGGCTCCACATCAGAGGCCCAGAAAATGCCGGCGGCTGCAGCTGCCGAGAGGTCCTGCTTCCCCCAGGGGCTGGCCATACCCTCGGCCTTCAGCTTGGCCTTCTTGGCCGGCGGTAGAGGGGGGAGCAAGGAGAGGGCCGCAGAGGCGGAAGGAGGCCGCCCCAGGTGGGCCAGGGCGCCGTGCCCGGGTGGGAGGCGGATCTGGACGCCGTCCCTCCTGATGAGCCCGTGGAGCACGTCTATGGGGGATCCCTTGGCGTCCGGGTCGCTGACGCCCAGGTGGCGCAGGTGGGCGCGGGCGTGGCTGGATAGGCCCTTGCGGGTCTCAAACCAGGCACCGCACAGCTGGCAGTCCAGCTCTCTGCCCCCGTCACTATCTAAAGCTGCGGAGACAAAACACAGGGGGTTCACGGCCGCCACCTTGGCTGGCCCTGGAGGACAGAGGCAGGAGGGTCTGGTGTGATTCTTAGATCTGGAGTCCAGGTCTTAGGCCACATGTTTATCTGAAGAGGTTCCAGGCAGCACAGCCCTATGCCCTGTCTAGCCCTCAGGAGAGTGCAGGACTGAAGGCTGCCGTGTGGACGGGTGGTGAGGAAAGTTCTGCGGCAAATTTGGGGGCTCCTAGTGGGTGCTGGTAGGGGCTGCCACGGGGCTGCCAAGCGGCTACTGAAAGCACAGCAGATGCAGTGCAAGGGGCTTCAATGGGGTGCTCTGATGGACAGGGGGCCACGCTCTGCCCCCGCCCCCAGGCCTGCGAATGCACGGGAAAGCCTGACGCCCTGCAGGGTACCCTCACTGTGCCCTTCTTCCTTTCTCCCCAAACCCTCCACGCCACGCCCACAGGCAGCTCAGGTAGAAGGGCTCCATCGGCACCGCACCGAGAGTAAAGGACACCTCTGCGCAGGATGGCCAGAAAGACAGGAAGACGGGCCAACCAGAGGGGCTGCCGGGTGGGCAGGCCACCTGTCTGCCTGCATGACCGGATGGATGCCTGACGCCCACCGGGGAGCCAGGCCTGCAGGAGCCCTGGTGCCTCTCACTGTCCCACTCACCCTCGACCCAGAGGACGAGTGCCGCCCTGTGTGCTGAGCATGACCCCGCAGGGCTCAGCAGCTGCAGCCAGGTCTCCAGGGCAAGAGCGCAAAGTCGGGGAGACGCGGTGAGCGCCTCAACCAGCACTGTGACCCCGCTGACCCAGGATGTAGGAACTGCAGCCCCCACTGTCCCTCCCAGTGCCGGGATCCCCCCCAACACCCAGGACCCACACTCACTGAGGTTCAGGGGCCCCTCATCCTCAGACTGGGGCCACTGGGCCTTTGGGGAGGCTGACCGGGGGCTCAGGGACAGCTGGGGGCTCTTGTCCTCAGGATTCTTCGGGGTAGGGGAGCCTGCCAGCGCCAAAGGTGCCTTCTTGAGCAGCGGCGAGCTTGGTGGGTGGGCCAAGCCTTTGGTCGAGAAGCCTGGGGGTGACTTGATGGCTTTGTTGACAGCAGGTGCGTCCAAGGGCTTGGCCAGGGAAAGCAGGCCAGGCCGGGCAGAGCCAGTGATCAGCTCCTTTGGTGAGTTGGACTTCTTAGCCAGGCCATGGGGCAGCCCAAGGGGACCGTCGGGCAGGCCCTTCTGCTTGACAAGCTCGTAGAGGAGGTCGATGGGGGCACCACTGCTCTCTGACTCTGCTACTCCAAGCTGCCGCAGGTGGGAACGCGCGTGACTAGACAGACCCTTGCGGGTCTCGAAGCAGGCACCGCAGACCTCGCAGGTGGTCAGGCTCTGGGCTGGAGGGAACATAGAGGCCAGGGAAGGAAGCTATAAGCCGAGGGTCCAGCCCACCTGCTTTTCCTTCTCTCCTGTGTTCTGTGTTCGGTTTCTTCCAAAGCCCCGTGACCCTCATGGTAACTCTAATAAGGTGGGGATTAGCCCATCTGGTTTGCAAGTTAGTAAACTGAGGCTCAGAGGAGGGAAGGGCTGTGCCCAAGGGTACAGCACAGGAGGCCTCTTATGTGGTCCAGGCACTGGGGATCTCTGAAGCACCAGGACACCCTGGCAACAGGGTCAATTGAGCACTAGCTTGTCAGCCACACGAACGAAACACACCACACTGAATCCAAGCCACTGTGTGTGGCCCAACTCATGCTCTGCACACTGGGCAGGAGGCCTGAGCCATGGCCCCTTGCACGCCCTTCAGCAGTGCCTCTATCTCTTGCCCATTTGCTTCTCTGCCTCCCTGCCTCACAACTTTGATGACCTAAGGGGGCAAAGGCCAGGTCTGTTTTGTTCCTCTGACATTCCTGGGACCCAGCGTGACACTTGTCACTACTGAAAACCACCGCAGAATCAACCGCCAGACGCATCAGTGTTACACAACAGATGGCCCAGCTGACAGGAGCCAGGCTTGGTCAGTGACCCGGGGTGATCGGGAGCTTTCGACCACCACATGCGCTGTGCCTCTACACTGTCCAGTGAGGGTGCAGCTGGGGAACAAGGGTAGCTGGGGCTCGGGGGAGAAGACAGCTGGGGGTCTCCTCAGCGCCTGTAGGTGCTGGACACAAAGCCACGGCTGACTGATGTGGGGACTAGGTCTGAGAGATCCCCCATGCCTATAAGCAGCCTGGCCAGCACGCCCCCCCCACCTGTCTGTCACCTGGGCCACTCACCCTTGAGGTCTGGCAGCTCCTGTTTGCTGCCATGAGGAACCTCTGAAGCCACTTTGGTGCTCAGACGACTGGCCACCTGCTCCAGAGCCCCAGGGACAGGAAGGGTCTTCTTAGGGAGTGGGGGGGACCCCAAGTCCATGGCCACCATGGTGTTTTCCTCAGGGCCTAGGCCTGTGGGGGTGGAAGAGACAGACTCAGGCCAGAGTCAGGCTGTCTGCTCCCAGGAGAACAAGACGGTGCTTCCCCCTCACCTTTGACACCTGCTGTCACTCTGAGAGGCATCTTACTCCCCCACTGGAGAGCTGAAACTCCACCCACAAACCCCAGGGCCAGCTTAACACTGGGACAGTATGGTTGCCCAATGACTGCAGAGTGAAACCGCAGCTCCCACCCACTTTCAGAAGGTGGAAAAGCCAGGGGACCCCATGCCAGTCTGAGAGCTGAGCTCCCATCCTAGGGGTCTCGGAGAAAACCAACCCTCTGCGCAGAACTTTTATAAGAAGTACTTAGAAAAGAAAAGAAAAAAGAGAAACAGAGAGAGACTTGTAAGTGGGGACAATTAGAAGAACTTGACAAAGTAAGCAGGGTCAGGAGACCTGAGAGACAGTGCAGGAACAGGGTCACAGAGGGACTTAGGACTCCTGAGAAAACTCGGCTGGAGTTGGGACTTCAGAGGCCTCAGTGGCCCGGGTGGTCTACTGCTCATCACCCATCAACCCCAAAATGGGGTAAGGCAAGAACTGGGGCCCTGGACCAGCCTCAATCTAACTCGGGGACAAGAAGAGTGACAACCAAACAACTTTAGATGAAGTTTTGGAGGCGTCTAGGGAGAAGAAAACACAGGTGGGTTTTCCTGGTTTAATTCTTCACAGCAAGGGGCCCGGGAAGCCGGGGTGTGCACCAACTGAGAGCTGGGGGCGCGGGGGGGGGGCCTCGGCGCGCGAAGGAACCGCGTCCACGGGACCCCGGGGTCGCCCCGTGGGAGCCAAGGAGGCAGAGGGGCCGGGTAGGCGCCCCGCTCGGTCTGAGTCCTACAGAAGCAGGAGCAGGGGGCCGGGACCCCGGGAACTTCGCCGAAGTCTCCGGGAAGAGTGGGCGCGTCTGTCAAACGCGCCAGGGCCAAAGTGGGCTCGCGCACCGAGGGGACCGGAACCGCGACCAGGGACGCTCCGGGCCCCCGAAACAGGCAGGGGACACCTGTCAGGCGGGTCGGGGACCCCGAGAAGCAGCGGCGGGGTGTTTGTCAGGCCCGGACCCCTGCAAGGGGCGTCAGGGTTGCTCCCCGGCCCGCGCGACTTTTGGGGCGGAGTGGGGGGGCGCGGGGATCCCGCGGACGGGAAGGCGGGCATCGGGGGCGGCGCGGGCGCGCGGGACCCCAGCTCTCAGTTCCCGGGCTCTCCTGGGAGCCGACTCTTACCCGGGGGGAGCGCGGGCCCGGGTCCCGGCTCCGACTTGGCCTTGGGCCCGTCCCGCGGCGGCGGCGGAGGAGGCGGCGGCGGCGGCGGCGGCGGTGGCGGCAGCGGCGGCGGCGGCGGTGGGGGTGGCGGCGGCGGCGCGGGGAGGGCCACAGGGCCCGGGCTCGGGGGGCTGGGCGGGGGCGCCCCCGTAGGCGCGCGCTCCCGGGCACCCCCCGCGCGCGGCCCCGCCGCCGCCTTGCTCTCCGCTTTTGTCACTCGGCACTGGGCGGTGGAGGCGGCCATCTTGGCTCCGGCGCACGCGGGGCGGCCGCCCCAGGCGAGAGCAGTCAAGCGCCGAACGCCGCCACCAGCCGCGTCCCGCCTCGCCCCGCCCCGTGCCGCCCCGCCCCTCGGGGCGCGCCTAGGTTGACCTGTCGAGCGCCGAGCGCCAAGAGCCAAACCGCTCTCCTAAACCCCTTGCAGAAACGACGGCAGCGGACACAGCGAGTTGCCTTCGAGCTCCGGCTCACCCTTACAGGCTGGCCACGCTCCGAGCAGTCTCCAACTGCCTCTCCAGCTCTACGTCTAAGATGGGGATCCTTTAAGCGACACGCCGGCACCTTGAGTTTAGCATTCAGCCCTTCGATGGGCGGAGTTAGGACCTGCCCTGAGACGCTGCCCCATTCTCTTTCCTGGAAGTGTCCTTCTCCGGGTCCACAATCCTGGAAATCACCTGATCCTCACCACGCGCATTCCCCCAACCAAGGTTGTCTGGGTACCCAGCTATCTTAGGTGTTGTCCTGCAGTCCCAGGGAACTACTACTCCCGCCACCACCTGCATTTCAAGCACTGCCTGCCTCACTCCGTCCACCTCCTAAGGGATTGCACCCAGCTGTTTCTTGACAGCTGAGCGGGGCTGGGACGTGGCCATTGGCCCTTCCCCGACCTGGAACCAGTCCCCGCTGGCTCACTTGGGAGAGGGGAGGAGACTTCTAAGGACAACCAGGGAATGATGTGCTCCGAAGTCTAGTTCTGCCTGTGTGACACAGATGAGACAGTTTTCTTTTCCATTCCATCAAATGGGTAACCGGCAATCGAGGGCTGGGGATTGGTAATGCAGCTCAAGGGTATAACGCTTGCCTAACCCATGCAATCCGATCCAGCACTACAAAAGCAAAACAAGCAAACTCCCCAACATAGTAGTGACAGCAGCAACAACAAATCAACTCTTGGCACCACAGACTTAGTGGTAGGCAAACCTGAGCTGATACAGGTTGAAAGCCTGGCACAACAAGTACTCAAATACGGGAAGCGTTTATCAGTGCTGGCAGACACAGGTCGAAAATCTAGAAATCTGGTTTCTAGATCAGCACCATCCAGAGGACCGTCAGCTGCTCAGAACTAGGTAGATTTCAAGTCTGCGACAGCACAGGTGGCTGGAGAACATTTCCCCCCTCTCACAAAGTTCCACTGGACAGGACTGCTCAAGGTAGAACATTCAAGAATAAGCAATCTCATTTTTTTAAAAAAGGAATCTGGCCAACATGTTGGTGCTTCCTTGTCAGCCCCGCACTTGGGAGACTGACGCAGGAGGTCTCCACAAGTTTGAGGCCAAACTGGGCTACATAGCAGGTTCAAGACCAGCCTGAACTTCATAGTGAAACTCTGTCTCAAACAGACAAACAACCAGGAACCAGGAGTCTTTCTGGCTGGGTAACCTTGGGCAAGTTAATTAAATTCTGTGCCTCAGTTTTCCTTCTGTAAAATGGGGACAATCGTTTCACCCACCTCATTAGGACCATGATGAGTCTGTCATTATAAAGCAACAATGCTGGATCCTAGTAAAAGCTCAATAGCGTTTGCAGGGAGACACTGGATTTTGGAAAAGGGGCCCTGGCCCAGCCCCTGAATGAAGCAGAAATGATTTCTAAGTACCGGGATGGTGATGAGGCGGGTTGTCAATATACTTTGTAAAGTGACCAGAAATGCTTCCAGAAATGTAGAGTGTCCACCCGCTGTCCCCAACCCTCCCCCCAGCCCTCTGAGCTCCGCGCCACCTGTCTGTCCCCTTCTCGTCTTACCATCCCCGTATGCAGGCCCAGGGTCCTCAGCCCAAGTGGGTGGGAAGGGAACGGTGAGAGGTAAGCGTGGTCGTCGGGAGGTCAGGAAGCCGCCTGCTGGTCCACCAGGCTCACGCCCCAGAGGGCTGGGGGGCAACTCAGCCGCCGAAGTGGCCAGCAGCTCCTGTAAGATGTTGATGGGCGAGACGGTGAGTTCCCAGTTGGTGATGCCAAAGTCTCGCAGGTGGGCCCGGGCGTGGCTAGAAAGGCCAGCCCTTGTGTCAAATCCTGCCCCGCAGAAGTCACATCGCATCAGACTGAAGGTGCCCGGGTCAAAGTTGGCCACTGCAAAGAGAGGACAGGGATCGTGTGGGCTGGGGCAGAGGCGGGGTCACTTTGCAGCCCCAGCGTCTCAGCCTCTGCAAATCCCCCTGGACGGCCTGCCTTCCCCTCTGCTCCTGCCTGCCTCACCGCCAGGCACCCACCTCCCCAGGCCAGACAGCCTGAGCTCCCGGGTCCTTCTGAGCTGTGGAATCGGGAATCAGCCGGGTGCGTGCCCGGTGGATAACTTCCTCCTGTCTATTTTTGCCCACTCTTGCCTCAGTGTTGTGAATTAAACACGAGTTGCATGAAGAAACAGGCGGAGGACATGACTGTCCCCCAGAGAGAGCCTTCTCTGAACAGCCAGGTAGTCGCAAGAGTATCCCTTTCATCCTCAGCACCCTGGCTTCCCAGCTCCCACTGCAGGGTCAGAACTGCCTACTTTCCTAGAGGGGCCCCTTCTTACACACACACACACACACACACACACACACACACACACACACACGTGCCCATCCCCACCTTAACACCCCCCTACATGGGCTCCACGACTGCTGACCACGGAAGCACCCAGAGCTACCGGCTCCAAGCGGTGACTTTTTTTTCTTTTTTTCACACAGGGTCTCACTGTGCAGTCCAGGTTGGCCTTGAGCTCACTTTGTGGCCCAGGCTGGTCTGGAACTTACAACGATCCTCCTGCCTCAGCCTCCCGAGTACTGGGATGACAGGCGTGAGCCAGCACACCCGGCTCGGCTCTATGGTCTCTCCTGGGAACCGACCCTTAGAATCTGGAACCTTGTGACCCTGGAACCTGCATACCCTTCACAGGCACCCCAAGTTCTGAAGTCCACCAATCATCTCATTGCTCCTGGCCTGGGCCGTGAATTTGAGAAAGACGGATGGCTGTTCACTCACTGCTGGGTCCCATAGTGCAGACAACAGAACAGACCTCGCTCATGGAATTAAACGGGACTCTCTGCCTGGGCCTGATTTCCTTCCGCTGCCAGCATGGCCAAGGCTTTGCAGCGTCCCCCTAGATCCACCGCTCTTGGGTGGCAACCTTGGCTGTGGCTCCTAGGTCTCCCAAGAGGGTGGCCCCGTTTCACTCTGCACGGCAGGATTTAAAGTGGAGTGGGGTTTACAACCCAGCTGCCTGGCCACGAGGCTCCCGGCCTCGGACAGAGGTGGGTGTCGGAGTAAAACCGCCCTACCTTTTTTCTTTTTCTTCTGGAAGGAAAACCTGCGTTCGATGGCCTTCACCTCCTCAGCGGAGATGAAATGCCGCACGTTGTAACTGACGCCCACACGGTTCAGGTGGCCGCGCACGTGGTTGGCCAAGCCGATGCCATTGTGGAAGCGGTCGGGGCAGTAGGGGCATTTCCGTTCTTCGTTCTTCAGGGCCATGCCTGGGTCTCCCTCCAGGAGCGTGTCCAGCCCCAGTGGGCCACCCAGCGGTGCATCCAGGAGCAGGAAATCCAGGGGGTGGGTGACCCCCAGCCCCAGCTCCTCGGGCGGCAGCCTCGGGGGTGCCCTGGCTGCGGCGGCTATGACCTGGGGCCGGAGTTTCGCCACCAGCACAATGGGCACCATGTCTCGGAGCTGCTGCCGCTGGGCCCTGGAGGCCACTGCTGCCTGCAGGGCAACCTGGAAAGTGCGCTTCAGCTCTAGGGCTGGCTGGGGGATGAGTCGGGGGATGGCTGGGGGTGGGAAGACCCCATTCTCAGAGGAAAAATCCATTATTTCAGAAGTCAACACCACATCCTCATCATCTTCCTCCTCCTCTTCTTCCTCCTCCTCCTCCTCTTCTTCACTCCAAGGGTGCCTCTGGCCCCCCAGGCCCTGTGGGCGACCATGAACAGTGCCTCGGTTTCTACTGAACTGGACGAGGTCAGGGGAGGGAAAGGCCAGCCTTCCCAGAGGCCTCTGGCCTGCGTGCTGCGGGAGTGGCTTTGACAGCACGAAGTCCCTCATGCCCAGCTGCTGGCAGTCTGGGCCGAAAGCCAGCCCCGGGTTGTACCCAGCAGGGTTCTCTCCCCACGTAGGGGCCAAGAGAGGCTCAGCTTTGCCAAAGCAGTCCGCAGTGGCGCTGTCGGAGAAGCGGGCGTGCCCACCCTGGCTGGTGCCCGGGCGGCCGGCGGGGTACTCCTCGAAGGCCTCGCTGTCCTCCTCCCAGGACGGATGGGTGTGCACCAACCTCACGTGCTCCCTGAGCAGGCTCTCGCTGGGTGCGGGGAAGCCACAGAAGACGCAGGCGCTGAGGCCCGGGGCACCTCCGTAGGGTGCGTACACAAGGGTGCTGGCTTCGGGTGTTGGGCTTGCGGCCCTGCCGCTGCCACCCCCGAAAGGCTCCTTGGCCGGCAGGCTGGGCGGCTGGCGTGCGTGCAGCTTGGCGTGCTGCACGAAGGCCCTGGTGGAGCTGGTGCCAAACACACACTTGGGGCACTGCAGCCGGGCCTCTCGGCCCTCATCACCTGGAAATCGCTTCAGCTTCTGGATCTCCCCGATGATCTTCTCCCGGGAGGCCTGGTGCAGTTGCCGGTGCTGCTCCAGGGCGGTGGAATCGGCGAAGGCCCAGCCGCACTCGCCACAGGCCAGCGGGGCCAAGTCCGAGAGGGGCTCCTGGCCAGGGGTGCGGCGGTGCTGGCTCATATGTTCTAGCAGGTGTTCCTTGTGCTTGAAATAGATGCTACACTCGATGCAGGGGAACACGGCTGGCTCCTCCTCGTCGTCCTCGTCCTCCTCTGGGCTGGCTGCACCCTGGGCCACCTCCTCTAGCAGTTCACTCAGGTAGGGCCCTGGTGGGATGGGAGGAGGCAGCACAGGCTGGAGCCGTTCCACGGAAGCCTCCGAGTTCACCATCCACGTCTGCGTGGCCACTTCCGAGGACGCTACAGGCAGGCCCCACTCAGAGGGCTGGGCCAGGCCTTTGAGGTCTTCTCTGGCGTCCACCACCTCCACGTCCAAGGTCTTGGGGGTGTCTTCCAATGGCATGATCACCCTCCTGAAGGCAGCTAGGGGAGGCGGCTGTGAAGACAGGTGCAGGTGCAGCCCTATGTCCCTCAGAGGTCCTTGCTCCTCTGTGTCCTGGAGCCAGTCAAACCTGGGGTGGCCCTGGGCGGCCTTCTCTAACAGCCTCAGTTCACCCTGGTGGTACAGGAAGCTCCTAGAGCCGTCAAGCTCAGCATGGGGTTTCATGGTCCTCACAATGACCGAGTCGTCAAACCTTTGCTCGGATGGGATGCTCTCCCCAGCCTCCTGGGCCAGGGGGTGCTCCCAGGGCCCCTGACCATCACGAGGGCCAGAGAAAGGACCCAGTAAGTGGGATGGTGGGGAGCCCGGCCGGAAGTCCAGGCTGCCTCCATCCCAGCAGCTGTAAGGAAGTGCCAAATGGGGACAGGTTAGCTGTGGGTGACATTTTCCTTCCTAGCATACAGATGGCGGGGAAGTCCCCCCAGGCCATCGGAGGCAGGCCCCAGAGATCCAGCCCCAGGGTGACTTCTGAGAGGCTAGGTATATAGGAGCTAAGGGCAGGGAGGGAGGGAAAGGGGGGGGGAGAGGGAGGGTGGGAAGGTGGGCCCTTCTAGAACTACTGTTCTCCTTTGGATTTTTGAGACAGGGTCTTGCTATGTGGTCCAGCTGGCCTCAAACTCATAGCAATCCTCCTGCCTTGGTCTCCTGTGTACTGGGTCACAGGCATGCATTACCACACCCAGCTCTTCTAGAACTATTGGGTCAAAAGCCAGGTTGGAGTCTAGGGTGTCCACATAGCCCAGACCTATTGCATCACAAAAGAATGGACAGGCCACAGGGGGATGGGGCAGCCTCCAAGGCGCATCGCCAAAGTCCCGTGGCTACGCCACCCTTGTTCATCTCTCCCCATGGAGGACTCATAGCGCTGACCTGTATTCTCGGCTGCGGATCTCAGTCCTCCCCAACCTGGGGTGATTTTTAATTAGTTACACTTCTTGCCCCAAATTTGGCAAAAGTTAACTTCACAGCAGATCAATTCAACAGGTTCCTCTGGTCCCCACCTCTCCCTCTCAGAAGGGCAGAGTCAAGAGTAGCTGATGGTCAGTGCTCACCCGCTGGCCCTAGTAACCTTCTCAAGTGGAAAGTAGGTGGGAGAAACTAGGCAACTTCCCTGGGTCTCAGTGTTCCAGTCCTCAAAATGGGGATGCATTTCAGCATCCAGAACCTCCTGATCCTTAGACAGGGTGTAAGGAGGTTTTTTGTTTGACTGAATCCAGGGCCATGCTCATGCTAGGTCAGCCACTGATGCTCAGCCACAACCCTTTTTAACTTTTTTTCATGTTGAGAAAGGGCCTGAGCTGGGCTTGAACTCGAGATCCTCCTGCCTCAGCCCCGGGGTGGCTGGGATGAGAGGTGTCCACAGTGCCATGAGGACAGATGCATGGTGAGGGAGCTCTCTCACAGCTGCCACCAGCGATAACATCGCACACCGCAGGTGGTTACTTAAATATTTGCAAGGGATGGGGGTGCAGCTTTGCATGAGGCCCCAAGTTGGATCCCAGCACCGCTGCATTAAAAACAAAAAATTTTGTAAAAGCTCACAACCACAAGCTTCCAAATGAGGCCCCTGAGCCCGCACCACGTAGGGTGAAGACGGGCACGGCTCGCAGCTCAGCGAAGCAGTTTGAGCCACCTGTTGCCTGAGGGGCTACTGATCGTGCCCAGGAAACTCAAGAAGAAATGGGCTCCCCAGTCAGACGGAGCAGGGGCCGGAGGGCCCCTCTCAGACCCACACGTGACGTGTGAAATGAAGTGGGCTTATCCTTCCGGGGCGGTGGCAGAGCTTGGGTGGGACAGACCCCCACTGGGGGCTCAGCACCTAGCAGCTACGGTTCCTCCAGACAGCTGGTGGACTTATCACACATGGGCGCCTGCCACACCCTGCTTAATGACCAGGTGGTGGCCATGAGCACTGGGCTGGATTCCTGTTCTCCCGCAGTGCCCGCTGGGTTCTCGAGGCAAGTTTATGCGATGTGGCTTAACGGTGCTATTTTGTAGATGAGGAAACTGGGGCTCGGAGAGGCCTAGCATCACTCTAAGGGTCACCTGGCAGAGAGACAGGACTCCAGGGGTCCGCCCTGCAGGCTCTGGCCTCTGCGGCCCTGCTCCTGGCAGACATAATGAGAGTTGACCTCTGTGTTCATGCGGACGTCCCCCCACCCCAGCGCACAGGGGGCTTGCCTGCAGGGAGCAGCCTCCTCCTGCCTGCTCTCCTGATTCCCTCCTGTGCCCTGCTTGTCTCCTGGGGGCTTCTCTCAGGCCTGGGCCCCCCTGCCCTCCCTGAGGTCAGGGCCAGCGTGGCACTCACCAGCTGCTGATCCGATGGGTGGCGGAGGTGGCACGGGGGAGGGCTTCGCTGAGACCAGGATAGGGCTGCCCGTCTGCAACAGAGAGGGGAGACCCTGAGGGGCGGAGGCCCCCCTGCCTGGGGCTCCACACCCCAGCTTTTGGAGGCCTGCGGGGCACCTCAGAAAGGCCCTGCTGGCTTCCAGTCCCTCTCCCCGAGAGGCCTTTGGCCTCTACATTGCTGAGCCCCCCAAAGGGCTTTGGAGGAGTCCCCGTGGGTCTCCTGGGGGATCCCAGGGGCTTGCTACTTTCCAACCCCCTTCACTTTCCCCCAACCCAGCAACCAGGGTGATGATGGTTTAAAGTCACACCTTGGTACAAACTCAGCTGGCTTCTCATTGCGCTTACAGTCAAAGCCAGATTCCCAAAAGCCACCACAGGCCCTTGGACAGTGCTACAGTGGACTAGTTGTTATCACTGGGAGCTCTGAAAGGTTCACCGACTCTGCCCTAGCAGGTTGGATGTTGACTCCAACCTCTCTTGCCTCTCCTGGCCCTTGCTGCCTCCGCCCTGACTGCATGGCCTTCTTGGGAAGCCTCAAGCCCACCTAACTGTTTCCAGCCTCAGGGCCTTTGCACTGGCCCGGAGCGCTTATCCCTAGTCACCTGCTCAAGGGACCCCCAGTCATATGCTCTCTCAGCACCTGTGTTACTGCTTTCTCCTGGAAGCTGCCAGGCTCCCTCTCTAAATGACCATCTGAGTCCTCTGCAAACACCTAAGTCCCACCGGGGCAGGACTCTGTCAGCCCCATTCACTATGCCTCCCTGGCACATGTGTATGCCACAAATACATGCCAGGCAATGCATGAACTCAGTCCAGCCTGAGCTATGCAGGGTTCAGACTGCCTTCCGCACCCCCTTCTGGGCCCAGATCCTAGGCTGGAATCCCTGCCTGGGAAATGCCCCAACACAGAACATGCCAACTCTCCATTATCCGCCTGCCGAGCCAATGCCTGGAGCCACCACAGGAATCCTGGCCTGCGTCTCTCTGCCTGCCACGCTTGTCTGACACGGGCGAGCGTGCCAACTGGGGAGCAGGCCAATTGTCTGGGCCAAGGTTAACACACTGGGGGAACTTATGCCCTGGCCAGGGCCGACAGATGCGATTGCTGGAGGAGCCTCAAACTGAAGATGGTCCAGGAAGCGGGCAAGGGCCCGGGGTTATTATTTTGTTTTCAATCTCACATCATCCAATTTGTTCTGGAACTTGAGGGCTGACCACTGGGAACCAGGGAAAACGAGATGGGGTGGGGATGAGCAGGAACCTGTGATGGTGTTTGGGGGCTGCCAGGGTGACCCGGCTTGGAGAGTAAAGGTAAGGTCAGGGGACGGGCAGCCTTGCACTGAGGGGTGCTGAGGAGCATCACTGAGGTACATCCTGCTCCTTGCTCCCCAACCCCTGCCAAGACGCCGCTACCTCCCTCTCCCACAGCCACGACCCCCAAAAACATCTCTGGACATTTCAGACACATCCCCCTCCCCCTCCCAAGCAGGGGTCGGTTACCCCATCTTAAGAACCACGCGGGAGGACAGGTGGGGAGCAGGGCTGGACTTGGGTGTCAGGGCTGAGGTCAGGCTGAGCTGCTAGAGGACAGGATGGCTGGGAAAGCCAGGTCTGGACCAGCCGAGGAAGAAGGACCCCAAGAAGCAGGGTCTCCAAGGACACCCATGTCACAGATCAAGCTCCTTTCAAGGTTGACTGGTGATGTCCAGCCAGTCATGATGTCCAGCACACCCCAGAAGTAAGGGGTCCGAGGGTCCACGCAGTCCTGCTTTTGAGATTCTGGAACTCCCAGGTCCCAAGATTGCAGGTGTCCCAGATGTGATGCTTCTGCGATCTCTGTGGCCTGAGAATTCCACAAGCCGGGGGGTCACGTTGGCCTCTTTGTCTGAGCGGCTCCAGCAAGGCTCCTATTTTTAGTGGCAGCGACTTTGGAGGAAGGAGGCCAGGCTGAGCCTGTTTCCGAGGCGCGTCCGTGTCGGAGGAGGGGGTTTTGCCAAGTGGCCTCCCCTCTGGCAGGGGTCCAGATGTTCCCATGGGTCGTGCAAATGGCCAGGATGCACACGAAGGCAGTGACCGTGACAAGACGCCCTCATTGGCTCCTGTCATCTGAGGTCCCTGGGAGGGCTTTCGAATGAAAGAAAGGTGTGTCCGTGAGAAACTTCAAACCCGAATCAGACACCTTGGCAGAGTGGCCAACCACCAAGATTCTGGTGCCAGTCAAGTCTGAGTTCAAGGTCCAGCAGTGGGCTCTGAAGGGCTTGTCTGGCCCACTCCAGGCCTCAGTTTCCACCTCTGTACAATGGGAACAGCCACCTCCCCGCTCTTGCAAGGTGAGCGATGGAGTCCTACAGGATCGCAGTACGTGGTCCATCCCAGAAGGAAGGCAGGTGGGGTTCCTGAGGGCCAGGGGCTTCCTCCTCCAGGACCCAGGCTAGAAGCTGGGGGCTGGACTGTGCCTCAGGCCGGCCTGCTCCATGCTGATTTCCTCCCCAGCCTGGAGGCCCACCACTTGTCCTTGGGTGCCCTGTGCCCAGCACAAGGCGAAGCAGATACCAGAACCCTCATCAATCCAGGCAGAAGGTCCTCAGTCCCCACCCCAGCCCCCAACTCTGCCTAATGTGAGACGCATTTTGGGCAGCGGCGATTGGGGAGGGGGTTCAGGGGGCTCCTTGCCAACAACTATCAGGGAAGATGGAGCACAGCCTTGTCCAGACAGAGGACTTTAGAGATGGCCATGCCAGGGAGGAAGTCCTTGGGGGGCTCCCAGGGCTGAGTGTGGACGAGGGAGGCCCAGGCTTTGGAGTGGAACAGCAGCCCCAGGGGTATTACGAGACTCTCAGGGCAGGTGCCCGAGTCCAGGGGATTCAGGCAGGCCAAGAGGACAGGCCTAGAGGACGGGAGGAGATGCAGTGTCCACAGCACACGCCTCCCTCCAACCTCTAGGCCGTGATCCCATCCTGAGTCCAGCCGCCCCTACCCCGTTTCCCTGTTTGCTCAGAAACCATGAAGGGTGGGCCTGATCCTCTTTGGTGGCTACATCCATCTCCTCTCCAGGCTGTAATTGGTTTTTTGTGTCTTTTTTTTTTTTTAAAGACAGGGTCTTGCTATATAGTCTAGACTGGCCTTAATTCACTATGTACCCCAGGTCGGTCTCAGACTCGCAGCAATCCTCCTGCCTCAGCTCCCAAATGCTGGGATGACAGGCGTGCATCCCCAGGCTGTAAGACAGGTACATTTGTGAGTCTCTGGTTGCTGCCCCAGGGAGAGAGAGAGAGAGAGGTCACATTTACCTACCCACTTTTTTCCCTCTCTCCTGACCTGGGGTGTCCACCAGGTAGAAAAGAAATGCCCAGTCCCTCAGAACCAGTCCTACAGAGGCTCCCGGCATCCAAGATCCCCATAAAGTCCAGGCCCTGATTCTGCCCTGGCCAGCTGTGTGACCAAAACAAGATCCCGCTGCTCTCTGGGGGCACCTTGAGGAGGTGACGGCTAAGGTATTGGATGAACTCTCTGACCCCTTAGCTGGGCTCCCTGTCCTTTATCCCATGCCTCTCACTCTGAAGAACTCCTGGATACCTCCAGGCAGGGCTGGGGTGCCCCTTCCTTCACACCTCAGTAACTGCATCCTCACACCTGGTGCAAATCCGTCTCACCTGCCCTGGACGGCCGGGTCCACCATGGCAGGGATACTGTGTTCTCGGCCCCTTGGAGGTGCTCTGAATGCTGGAGCATTGTTTTGTGTGTTGTCTTTTTGAGACAAGGGCTCACTGTGCAGTGCAGGCCGGCCTTGAGCTCACTGTGTAGTCCAGACTGGTCTCAAACTCACAATGATCCTCCTGCCTCAGCCTCCCGAGTGCTGAGATGACAGGTGTGTACCACCCGCCCGGCTAACACTAGAGCATTGTAAGGATGAGGGAGGCACTGCCTGGCTTTGTGATCTGGGCGATTTATTTCAAGTCTTAGCTTTCCCACTTCTAACGTGTGATAATAACAACAAGGACCACGCACCAGTTCTTCAAAAAGCAGTATGAAATTATCCTGCCAAGGCTGGACAGGTAGGAAACTGCTAATGAGGTGCTCTGGAGTTCAAGGAGATGAAGAAAAAGATTCTCCAGCCACACCAGGCTCCTGCCTGGTCTCCAATAAACCAAGTGCCTCTCTACCACAGGACCTTTGGACTTGCTGTTTCTTCCCACCATTCATTCTGCGCTCCACTCAGAAGTCATTTTTTTTTCCTCAGGGAGGCTTTCCTAGGTCCCTGATGTGTGACCCTGACACAGCCTCTGTCACTATTTGCCCGTATGACAGTGGCTTACTTCTTTGCCATCCATCCCCCTTCTAGCATGGTGGCCCCTGGAGAAACAAAAACTCTCCCCTCTCTTTGTGGCTGTCTTGCCCAGTACCTAGAACAGTGGTTGGCACACAGTAGGTGCTCAGTATCTAATGAATGAATAACAAACCTCGAGGTGGGGGACCACATGAGATGCACCATTTTGTAAGGATAAACCAAGGCACCAAGGGAGCAGACTGCCAGACTCCCTGGTCTCTCCCTTGCCACTAGAGGGCACAAGCTGCTTCGGCCCGGGGTGCAGAATCTAGGCGACCAAGACAGCAAGTGACACCTGAGATAGCCTGGGAGCAGGGTTCCCCAAAGGGACCAGCAGACCGGGGTGCAGAGATGGGCACCCGGTTTTAATTAGCGTCCATTTCAGAGGAGAGAGCTGGGCCAGCCCGAGTTTCAGTCCGAGTCTTTGCCACCCCGGGGGCACCCACAGCGTCTGTTTGCACCGCTGTACAGGGGGATGCTGAGAGGAGGGCCAGGAGAAGGCTGTGTACTCGCGGAGAAGCTGAATCCCGAACTCAGCTCCTGCTAGGCTGGGTGACCTGGCTCTCTCCATCTCCGAGCCTGGGGGCCCCACCGGATGTCCCCTCTTACCAGAAACGCCACCTCTGCCATCCAGGATATCTCGGGGACCTTCCTTCGTGATTGGCAGGTAGTGCGTTGACCGGAAGCCGCTGCCTTCCCCCTCAGCAGCCTCGGCCCCACCCTCGATGTCCTCCCTTGGAGCTGGGCCAGGCAGTCTCTCTGGGCCTCGAGGACGGTCGGGGGCGGCCAGGCCGCCTGCCAGGGGCCCCTCCATGGACGCGCTGGGACTGGCTCCGCTCGGCGGCGCTGGGCTGGCTTATCGAGGCATTGTGGTCTGGGAACAGAGAGGAGGAGGGCTCAGGGGAGCGAAGACACGGACTCTGTCTCAGTTCTGCCTCTCTCAACCCCTCAGTCCTGGCTCTGGCCACTTGCTGCCTCAGTTTACCTCCCAACCCCACATAGCTAAGTAAGTGACACTGAGGCCTTGTGCCCGCATCTATATCCCAAAGAGCCTGGCTCCCGTCGTTCATGTGTCCTGCTGATAATGCCTGTCTGCACGCGGATCGTTCACTGCCTCAGTTTACCGCGCTGTCACTCAAGCACACTCGGACGCCTGGTTTTCTGCCATCCTCAATCCCATCACTTCTGCCCCGCTCCTCCCTGCATGGGTACACAGCTTCACTGTCGCCCGTGGCGCCCTGGCTTCCCGGCACGGGCACATCCGAAGGCCATGCCTCCTCTCCTTCCATGCCAGCCGCGTCCCCGTGGTTCTGCCTCATACTCAAGTGCCCTGTCTCTACCCTTTCACTTTTCTCACCACGGTGGACCCCACCAATACCCCTGAACTTTGCCCAGACTTCCATCACAACACCCCCCCCCCCGTCTGAGGGTTCTTCCACATTAACCCCTTCACCCCCACTCAGCCTCAAGTGACCCCGGAATTAACCCTTTCACTTCTCCACAGCCTCACCCCTCATGCACACCCAGCCTGGATCCCTCCATGCCCCCGACCTCCATGGAGATTGCTCTGGTGGGAGGGCGAAAAGGAGCTATTAGGGCTCCTGGTCCAGAAATGAGGACCCCAGAGAGAAGGGGGGCTGTCCTCTCCACCTATAAATACCTTCAAGGTAACGGAGGAAAGTGAAGGGCAGGAATGAGGCGCCCTCCCCAGGGAGACGGTGGGGAGGTTGGGCCCAGGCAACCGGGGCGGAGCCGGGGCTCCAGGCCTGGTTGCAGGCGCTGCCCTCGGGGGGCCTGGGGGCTCCCAGGGGGCCGGTCCTTGGGCTGGCGGTCCTGGTGGGGGTCCCTGCCTGGGCCTGGAGGGAGCACCTGCGGGCACCCACCCGGTGGGCACTGCCCGGAGGGAACGGGCGGGACCGCAACTTCGGAGCACTTTGGCAGCTGGGGAGTGGGCTCCCACCCAGATGCCCCCCAGGGGTCGCAGACCTGGGGGCTGCGCCGCACCGATGCACCCCTCAGGGGGCCGGGGTTCCAGGGAGGTGCCCTCTACCCGTGCACCTCGGGGCGGGAGACCCCGCGGGACGCACCGAGGTAGGGGGAGACACCTGCCCCAAGACCCCCGCCCCTCCCCCACCTGAACGGCCCCGCCCCCGACCAGGCCCCGCCCCTGTAGGCCCCGCCCCGCCCCCCGCCCCGGGGGGTCCCGCCTGGCCCCGCAGGCCAAGGCCTCCCCCTCCCCGCTCCGGCTCCGCCCCACCCGCGGGCTCCCCAGGCCAGGCAGGGCCTCACCGGGGAGGCGGCGCCGCCGGCTGGGTGCCGGGGCACGGAGCTCCCCTCCTCTGTGCGGCTGTCGCTGCTGCTACCGCCGCTGTTGCTCCCGGTGCCGGTGCCGCGGCCTCCGCAGCTGCCGCCGCCTCCACCGCTCGGGGGACATTGTCCCTTTAAATCGCTCCCCCGGCCGCCCCGCCCCCCGGCGCGCCGCCGTGACCTCAGCGCGACAGCCCCGCCGCGCCGCCATGATGGGGAGGTCTGCCCCCCCACTCCGCCCCTGGGGTGGGGGGGCGGCCAGCGGGCGCACCGCCATGTTGGGAGTGGCCAAGCAGGTCACCCTTAAAGGGCCCGCTCGACCCAAGTGTCCAGGGGGTGAGGCTCTGTTACCATGACAACACTCTGGTCCTCCCACCCCCAATGGCTCCCATCACTCTGCTGGTTCTTCCAATGCTAGGCTCCCTAAAAGCACCAGAAGAGTAGGAAAGGGGCTAAGAATTTCCCCCTTGGGTCATTCATAGGTCAAGGATTCTGCCCTCTCAATCCTTAGCTCCCAGTCACTGCCCACTGTCAGCGGTCTTCCAACCACCCCATCCTTCCCCATCGGAAGGACTCCAGCCTCACAGACCTGCTGCCGTCCCATCTCCACCCACCTCTCTTCCCACCCATTCATCCGAACGCTCAATCGCCCTCACTACCCATCGGGTCCACCACTTACCATCCACCCCTGCAGCCCTTACCACCCACCCGCACAGCCCTCCCTATCCCATCCACCTGCCAGCACTCCGCACCCAGGTAGACGCCTGTTTATCCACCAGTCCGGTAACCATCCCTACAGGCATCCATCAGTTAGACGTTTCCTTGTTCTTTCCACGTGAGGACAGGGGTCTTGTCTGTCTGTCAGCTCTGAATATTAGAAGACTTCAGCAATGCACATCACCTATAACAGATCTAGACCTATCTACAGCTGTGTATTCCATTTCAATCTTATTCCACTGCAACACTGGTTTCCCGCCGGGAGCCAGGCCTTCTAGGCAGACGTTTGCAGCCCAGTTAGCCCCCTACCCAACTACTCATCAGATCGAACAACAGTCGAACGCTAACCTAGTCATGGTCTGTGGTGCCCTCCACCGTGCACCAGATTCAAGTGCCGACCCCTGTGTTCAGCCTTTTCCTGCAGGGCTCAGTCATCTTGGTACGTACTCACGCATCGTCCACCGGCTTCCCAGGCCCACGTCTGTCCTCCCTGCCGAGAGGGAGCAGACTGCAGACTAGGGGTCTAAAGGTCTCTCCTCTGGCAGTTGACAGGGTGGTGGGCTCCGGGCTCCACTGAGAAGCAGGTGGTGCCCGTCAGTTCCCTCTATTGAATGCCCTTCACTCAGGGTCTCCTATGCATTTTACAGCCGAGGCTGTGCAAGCTGTAGAGTGGGTGCCCTGCAGGGACACGGCTGCTGAGAATCCGCTTCCGTTTCCCTCCTCAGAGGGGAGAATTGGGGAGAGCGGATGAGGGGTAGCGAGGGGGCTCTGATTAGGAGCACTGAGGGGCAAAGACACCGCCAAGGATACTGAAATCGAGATTTTACTGCACAGCTTCACAGGCCTGCTTGGCCTAAGGCAGAGTCAGACCCCCCTCCCCGAGCCTCCGCTCCTGGGGCACGCTGGGGGGGATTGGGGGGGCTCAGGTGGTGTCTCCATTGACGCAGGGTGCTTGGAGAGGCAGGGGCTGGCTCAGGGACCCCGGCGTCCTCAGAACCAGCTGCAGGTCGTGGACTGAGTCCTTCAGCTGGGCCTGGGTGTGCTCCATCTTGGTCAGGCGGCGCTCCTGGGGAGGCAGCCCGGTGTGTTTGGAGCCAGGAAAGGCCCCCCACTTTGGCTCCCCCACCTCCCTGCCCTGCCTAGGGCTCTGGCCAGAGTCTCACCAGACTTTTCAACCTATGGCCTTCAGCACTGGGAAGACCGACTGCTGGATCCAGCTCCGAGGTTCTGAGGGGGTCAGAGATAAAACAGGTAAAGTCGGAGGAGGCTGAAGTACCTTTCAGGTCCAAGATAGACTGGCAGGGATCCAGAGGGCGGGGCTTAGAGGGAGGGCGGGGCCTAAATAAATCTGTAGAAAAGTCGCATCAGAGTGTTTAACAGGCAAGGAACCATCAAGTTGGGAGAAGTGGCTTAGGCTTATAAGCACTTGGGAGGCTGAGGCAGGAGGATCTCCGAAAAATTTCAAGGCCAGCCTGGGCGACCTAGTGAGACCAGCGAGACGCTGTCTCAGCCCTCCCCTTCTCCAAAACAGACAACTCTTTCAACCCTTGGGCGCAGGTGTGGGGAGTTTGGCCAGTGCTGGGAGGGCTCTTGACTTGGTAGGGGAGCACCCACCCTGAGATGGGCTTCAGCCTGGGGCTGATGGAACGGAGGGGCCTGAAGGGTGGGGCCTCTGGAGGGGCGGGTCCTCTGGGGGCGTGGTCACTACGGGGGTACAGCTCATTGGTGCGCGTCATGATGGGGGCGGAGCTAGTGGAGAGCCGCTCACCCTGCAGCGCGGAGCCCGGCGTCCAGCTCCCGCAGCTGTCCCCTTAGCTTCTCCTGCTGCTCCGTCAGGGCCCGGATGTGAGTGCTCAGAGACTCCACCAGGCGGGACAGCGCCTTTTGCTCCTCGCGCAGCGCAGCCACCTCACCCTGCAGCTCTGCCAGCTGGGGACACACAGCTGCCGTCATGGTAACCATCCTGTCCCGAGACCCTGACCTCCCAGTCCTCCACGCTTGGCCTTCCCACCGGCCTGCTGAGCTGGGGGACATCACTCCTGAGGTTCCCCAGTTAGACTATATCCAGGGTCATGCGGCTCAGCAAACGCGGTATTTGAATCCAGTGTTTTGTTTTTTGAGACAGCGTCTCACTATATAGTCCAGGTTGGCCTTGAGCTCATTTTGTAGCCCAGGCTGGTCTTGAACTCGCGGCGATCCTCCTGCCTCAGCCTCCTGAGTGCTAGATGACAGACATGCACCACTACACCCAGCTTGAACCCGGCTTTTCCTGGCCCTCCGTCCTCTCTCTGTCTCCTTCCTCTGTACTCCCAGCCCCGCTCCCAGCCCTCCCCAGGCGTGCACCTGGGCCAGACCTCACCTTGCCCATAGGCCGGCGTGTGCCCAGCACTTGCTCTTGGTCTCGTGGTGGCTGGTCCAGCTGGCGCTGCCAGGGCACCGATGGCTTCCGAGGCAGTGAGGTGGAGACCCCGGTCCAGGGCCTGCCACGGGCCGGGTGGCTCGATCTAATGGCGCCTTTGGGGCGTGGCTGGGGCCCCAGGGAGGCGTGGCGGCGGGCAGTGGGGACACTTTGTGTGCGCTGCACCGGCCGGGTCCGCCGTGGGTGTCGCTCCTCTTCCACCTGCCGCCGGGCCCAGCTCCCAGCGCCTTGAAAGGTGCGCAGGGACTGGCTCTTGATGAGAGGGCTGTGTTTGGAGAGGTCCCGGGGCGCCAGGAAGCCTGGCTTGTCCCCTGTGGAGAAGCTGGGGGAGGGATGGGAAAGCTCAGATCCCCAGGTGACCCCGTCCCCACCCTTGACCCTGATGGCATCAGGTTCTGACCTCTGACCTTGACAAGACCCTGTCCTTGACTCCCAGCTTCTATACCACCCTTTCTATGACCCTTGACCCCAGTGTGACCTTTGCTCCCCCTCCAGTCCTGTCCCTGACTTCTAACTTTGGGTTTGATCTCTGAGTCGCCCTCTTCCATCCCAATCTGCCCCATTTCATCCAGCTCCTGAGCTCAGGCTGACTCTGAGTCCCTGAACCCTGACAGAATAAGGTTCCTTGCCAGACATGGTGGCGCACACTTGTAATAGTCGCACTCAGAAGACTGAGGCAGGAGGATCACCATGAGTGTGAGGCCAGCCTGGGCTATATAGTGAGGCCTTGTCTCAAAACAAACAAACAAAAACAAAACCAAACTAAGAATATGGCCCCAGACTTCTGGCCCCAAATATGAAAAATATGACCCTAGATGTGGTAATTTTATACAATGGAGTACTACTTAGCCATGGAGACTTTTATAGGTAAATGGATGCAACTTGATACCATACTCATAAGTGAAATAAATCAGACACACATGTGTAAATGTCACTTATCTCACTATCGTGAAAAGCTGAAAGCAACAACCTATGTATATGTGTGTGTTAAGAATGTTAAAAAAGAAAATATGACCCTGCCCATAATGCCTGGCCCCTATCTATCTTGGGTCTGACCTCTGCTTATCATGTGAGCCTCCTGCTGATGTACCAGGGCTGCCTTATAACATCTCAACCATCTTGGGTCTCAACCAGGCCCCGATCTGACCCATCCACAACCTCAGACTGAATTACAGCTTTCATCTCTGATGACAAAGTTACTTTCTCCCTCTGACCTCGGAGCTGACCTCTGCCTAACCTCTCACATGACTCAGTCTGACTCTGGTACTGTCTGCCCTTGGTCTATGTAAGTGACTCCTGGACTCCTCATATAACCCTGACTCCAGCCTCTGACTTGGTCCTACACTTTTCTTTTTTGGTATCGGGGATTGAACTCATGACCTTGCACTTGCCAGGGAGGCACTTGTGCCACTGAGCTAAATCCCTATCTTTGTTGTCTTCTTGAGACAGGGTCCTGCTATGCAATTCAGGCTGGCCTGGAGCTCACTCTGTAGCCCAGGCTGGTCTCAAACTCGCAATGATCCTCCTGCCTCAGCCTCCCGAGAGCTGGGATGACAGGTGTGCACCACTGTCCTCCACTGTTTCTGACAGTGACTCCAATGTGATCGTGTCGCTGGTTCCTGACATGATCCATTTTCACCTGTGACCCCATTTGAACCCCACCCCTGCTCCCACCCACCACAACCCGGCTCAGACTCAAAGTTACCTGGTGTGGACCTGGGAAGGGGGCGATGGGAGACGCATTGGCACAGACACAGGAACAGGGCGGCCTTCCTCGATGGCTTGTAGGATGGTGGGCAGAGGTTCCAAGCTGTCACGGGTTGCCTGGTAACACACGCGAGGAGAATGCTGAGGGACTCTGGGGGCCTCCTTGCCTTCCCACCCCATGTCCAGGGCTGTGTGCTCTGGCCACACCTGGTCAAGCTCAGCGAAGATGGTGCAGAGCTGGGCATGCAGGACAGCCAGCTGGAAGGCCAGGTCGCTGCTGCCCTGGTAACCGCTGGGTGCGGCATCCACGTCAGTCGTGGCCACCTGGTCTAGGAAGCGCTGCATGGCTGGCCCGTGATCCTCCAGAAAGCTATTCATGAAGCCCATGTAGGCTTCTTTCTCACCGAATCTAGGTTGAGCCACAATGGATCAGTGCACTCTGTCAGGCACCTGCCACCCCCCCCCAGCAGGGGCCCTGACACCTACGGGGCACAGTTGGCGAGATTCTGGATGACTTTGGCGATCAGCGTGAGGGTGCGGGCTGGGTTTGACTCTGGGTGTTCCGGAGCCAGGCCGAAGAGGCTGGGTGCCAGGATGGCCGGGCACAGGAGCCGCAGGAAAAGGGAGGCACACACCAGGCGGGGGCCCAGTGCCTCGGAGCCACATGCTTTGCACGCTTCTCGCCAGCCTGAAAACACAGCAGCCAGCTCTGCCGGAAACCACCTGGGGCGGGAGAGGCAATGGTCAGAGGAGGTGGCTATGGATGTAGGGTCACCATGATTATGGTCATGTGGCTTATCCAGGACCCTCCACAAAACTATTCATGAAGCCTGTGGAGGTTTCTTAGTGAACCCAGGGTCTGGGGTCCAGGGCCTGGGACTTCTGGGGTGACAGGCTTGGATATCTTGGGGATGTGGGTGAGACCCCGCTGGGTCAGGATTCACAGTGTAGTTATTAGGGCAACTTCTGGAGTCAGTACCCTTCTATTTGGGGTTATAGACAAGATCACATGGGGACAGAAGTTGTGATATGAGGATATGAGGCTGGGGTGCCAGAGTACATATAAAGTAGGATGGGGTTAGAGATACAGGGTCATCGAGCGTCAGAGGTCATGAGACTGGCTTGTAAATTAACCTGGTCCAGGGATTGGAGCTGGGCATGTAATGCTTGCAAATATAGAAGCTGAGGCAGGAGGATTGCTGTGAATTCGAGGCCAGCCTGGGCTACAAAATGAGTTCAAGGTGAACCTGAACTGCATAATAAAACCCTGCCTCAAAAAGACAGGAAAAAAAAAAAAAGCCCAGGGACTGGAATCCCAGGTGACTTGTGATCCATTGCCCTGGATTTGGAGTACATGGTCCATTCCGGTCAGAGGTCATGGGGTCAGGGGTATGCATCATCTGGATGCAGAGGTTATAGAATTAAAGTCTTAAAAGTTAAGGGTAAAGTGGTAGGGAATTGAGGTTGGGGTAACCCTTGGTTAGAGGGCAAGGCACTGGATCCCAGATTGGTTGGGGTCAGGTGGTATGGCTTTGAGGCTAGGATTCCCCGGTATAGCAAATACAACATCAGGACACTCAGCTGGACTTGGCTTTCACATAAGCTATTAATATATATATATATATATATATATATATATTTAGTATAAGTATGTCCCAAGTCGAGAACCATAGTTAATGAGTGTCGTGTATTTTATCTGGTAACTCCAACTGGGAGGTCACTGTGCTCATGATTAGCAGAGCAGCTGAAAGGCAGGGGTGGGCTCAGGTGCTGGGCCCCTGATTCTCACTCGTAGGAGTGGACGATGGTTTCAAAGACCTCCTCACAGCTGTCCCGAAGTCTGGCTTGGTGCTTGGGCAGCTCCGAGGCAGGGCACTTGCTGGGGTCCACCTCACAGTCTTCGGTGGAAGCACAGAGATGCCGTACGACCTGCCCTGCAGCCCAGCGCAGCCAAAGTGTTCAAAACAAAAGCCACTACATCCAGCCTCCAACCCTATCCCTGACTTAGTCCAGAGGCCCCTAGCATCTTAAGAAATTTCTAATTACCCGACCCCCAGCACTCTAAAAGCTGCTACCACCCGATTCCAGCTTTTAAGGTTACCTAGAGCACCCTAAACTCCTCTGGGATCCCACGTGCCACCCAGCAGGACTCTGATGCCAGCCCCCTTCCGCAAACTCACCCAGCGTCTCCTGGAGGTAATCCTGCGCCACCAGCTTCATGTACTCGTCAATGGCCTTGGTGGCTAATGTGTTTTCTCGGAACAGCAGCGCCTCACGGCCTCCACACCGCGCCAGCTCCGCGGTGCCCAGATCCGTCACCAATGCCTGCTTAGGGCAGGGGGCCCATCCTTCACACCTGGCGCACAGGTTTGGGCCCTCCGCCCTCCTTGCTGATACTCGGGTCTGGCTCTCCCGGCTGGGGATTTTAACGGAGGCCAGAACCTCCACCTCCCATGGCAGCGAAGCAAGCCATTAGCAGGGAGGCTCAACTCCTACCCCCTTCTCGCAGGTGTGGCTCAGGCCCCGCCCCTGGTAGTCCCGCCCCTCGCAGGTGTAGCTCAGGCCCCGCCCGGTAGCCCCGCCCCTCGCAGGTGTGGCTCAGGCCCCGCCCCTGGTAGTCCCGCCCCTCGCAGGTGTGGCTCAGGCCCCGCCCAGCCGGCCCCGCCCTCGCAGGTGTAGCTCAGGCCCCGCCCCAGGCAGCCCGGCCCTCCAGGTGGCGTTGCCCCCCACCCTGCTCCCGTCCCCTCCCCGCCCCAGGGCTCTCCATCCCGGCTCCCACCGCACCTGCGCCCGGCCGGTGGCCCGCAGCACGCGCACCATGACGGCCGCCAGCTCCTCCTTGGCCTGGGCGGGCAGCGCGGGCTCCAGTGCCCCGCACAGGCGCGCGTAGTGGAAGGTCAGGAACTCCGCCAGCTCCTTGTAGCGCTCGGACCGCAGCACGCGCAGGCGGCGCGCCCGCACCCGCGCCCGCAGCGCCGCCCCGGCCGGCGCCCCGCGCAGCGGGAACCAGCGCTCCAGGCCGGCGGGGGGCGCGCGGGGGGCGCTCACCTCCTCCAGCGCCAGCGCCGCGCGGCCCAGGGCTGTGCCCGCCGGGCCGGCTCCGCGCAGCCGCAGCGACAGGCGCCGGGCGGGCGGCAGCGCTTCGAAGTGGAAGCGCTCGGCCCAGAAGAGCGGGCCCGGGCCGGAGCGCGCAGCCGTGCGCGCCAGCAGCGAGCCGTCCAGCCAGAGCTCGGCGCGCACGCCCTGCGCCCCCGCCGGCCGGGGCAGCCCCTTGGCCTCGTGCACCCACACGCTCAGCCACGTCTCCTCGCGCTCGGCGGTATCCTGCGGGGGACAGGGAGCGGGAGCGTCGGGGGACTTGGGGCTCGTGGCAGGCGCCGGGGTAGAAGGATGCAGCCTTGCCGCGCGCGATAGCGCACGCCACTCATCCCAAGCGCTCGGGAGGCGGAGGCAGGAGGATCGTCTCAAAAGTCCTGTCTCAAAACATCAACCAACCCCAACCAACCAAAACACAAAACAAAAAACCCGGAAGAGCCGGACGTGGTGGCACAAGCTTGTAATCCCAGCACTCGGGAGGCTGAGGCAGGAGGATCACTGCGAATTCGAGGCCAGCCTGGACTGCATAGCGAGACCCTGTCTCAAAAAGACACACACACACACACACACAACCAAACCAGAAGGGGCCTCTCTAAGTGGTTGCAAAGGTGGGGCAGTGTGTTTAGGGGTAAAGGTTAAGGCCCGTGCATAGCCGGGAGCCAGTGGGCAGGGCCTCCGCGTCTCTATTCCCCCACCTCCGGCAATGACCTGGCTCGGCTGGAAGTGGCGACGAAGGTCCTCGATCCAGCGATCTCTCTCAGCCGCCGAGCGACAGGAGAAGCATCGGCTCCCACCCACCCACGTCACCTGTCCAGTCAAGGAATCGGGGGTCAGGCCAGAGCATCCGGAATGCGACTGTAGGGGACGGGGTGGCCCAAACGTACCTGGAAGCAGTGGGGCTCCCCCAGGAGACTGGGGTGCAGCGGCCAGACCCGCACGTCCCGCTCCGCATCGAGGTCCAGCTCGGAGATGGTGACCAACGATTCTCTAGAGCCCAGAGTGCTGGGGGACCTGGGTTTGGGGTGGGCGAGCAAACAAACGGTCATCCTTCGCTGCCCTCCTCATGCCCCGCAGCCTGAAGGTAGAGGACAGCCAGGGACTTGCTCCGAAACGGGATCCCGCCTCTGTCCTGGTCTCAGGCACCCCCATGCCCTGGTCTCTGACTGCCCTGTGGGTAGGAGGGGGCTGGGGAGCAGATGGATCGCCGGCCCTCACACTGAGCTTGCTGCAGGCCTGGTGCTTTTTATTTTTTATTTAGAAACACGGTCTGGCTAAGTGACTGAGTTGCCCAGGCTGGGCTTGAACTTGTGATCCTCCTGCCTCAGCCAGCCTTCCAGAGTGCTGGGATGACAGGCGTGCACCACCATGCCCTGCTCTTACTGCTTTTAAAACAAACCCGGCTCTTTGTGGTGACCCCATAGGACTTGGAAAGTCCAGCCCTTGCCACTTTTGATCTCATCTCCCTCCATGTCACCCCTCAGTTTCTGAACTCTTGTGTTTGTGCCTCTCAGCCTCTCAGGCATTGCCTGCTGTTCCCTCTGCCTGGAATGCTTTTCCCATTGCCTCTCAGCCTGGGTAACTTCCATCCCTCCTAGGAATCCTTCTCTGGCCTTTCCAGGCCGGGGCGTTGACTAAGTTCTCAGTTCAGAGCTCTCTTCCAGCCTTCAGCAACGGGCTGGCACTGTGCTGGTCTTTCTGACCCAGCTTCACCTGGGGGGAGGAGGAGGGGAGGGAGGGGGAGGAGGAGGGGGAGGAGGGGGGGGAGGGAGGGTAAGGGAGGGGGAGGGGAGGGGGAGGGGAGGGGGAGGGGAGGAGAGGAGGGGGAGGGGAGGGGGAGGAAGGGTGCCTGGCAGGGCCACGGCAAGCTGCAGCTTCTCAGAGGCCCTTACCCATCCCGGGGGACGCTGGCTCCCAGGTCCGACCTGGATTTTTTCTTCTCCTTCAGTCTCTTGAGCAAGCCCTGGAGGAAAGTGGGTGCCAGGTGGTCAGAAATCTGGGCGCCTTCCTGAGCCCCTCCCTTCCGGGAGAGGGGAAGGCTCTGCTGGTCCCTAGGGAGCCAGACCAGGCTCAGGCTGCATCAGCAGCAGTAAATGAGGGCCACCAGCTTGTGGCCTCTTCTTCCTCCTTTCTTTTTGTTTTTTGAGGGAGGGTTTTACTAGGCTCACACTGGCCTCTTGAACTCAGGATTGCCTTGCATCAGCTTCCCAAGTGCTGGGATTAGAGGTGTGAGCCACCACGCCCAGCCAGCTCACGTTTCCATAAAGCCCTGAACAGTAAAGGATTCTCCACCGACTGTTTGTAAACCGACCCCAGCGGGGAGTCTCCTCATGAGCTCTGGCAGATCAGGGACACAGCGGCCCAGAGAAGGTCTGCCGGCCCCAGGTCAGCCTGGACCACGGATGGCCCTTGCTCACCCCCACCTCCACCCCCTGCTTCCACTGGGCCGCCTCACCCGAACATTGTGGACCTGGCTGGAGCCAGCGGCCTCTGGCTCGGTCTTTCCAGGGGTTCGATCTGCGGGGGAGTTCAGAGGTGGGAGGTAAGGGGTTAAAGTCAGCTTTGATTCTGCCCCACCTTGAGAGGTTCCCAAACACCCCAGCCTCCTGCATCCCAAACTCACCTGGGTCCCTGAGATTTCCCACAGCTGCTTGTATGCTGCCTCCCGAGCTAGCGCTCCCCGCCCGGGGTCGTCGAGGACCCTGTTGTGGGAGGGTGGGAGGGGGTGGTCAGAAAGGTGAGGGGTAGGTGGGGACCCTGCCCACCTCTGTGGAGTCCCCGTCCCTCCCTGGGCCCCGAACCCCTCACACCTCCTCTTCACTTCTAATGTGCACCAGCTTTCCATCCAGCAGGGTGAAGCCCCCGATGTCCCAGACAGGCACATCCGGGGTGGGGGCCTCGGGGATCTGGGGGCCCAGCGGCTCCGGCTCCAGCTCTGGCTCTGGGAAGAGGAGGGGTTACTGGGGGACCTCCGGGCTCTTCCCTCCCATCTCTGATCGGAAGGCTTCTGAGGTGCCCCATCCAGCAACCCCATCACTGCTGGCCCTGGATGAGTCTCGGCTGCTGTCCGAGCTTTGCCCCCACCGTCCACCTGCTCCGCGCCCAGCACTGCATGTGCCTCTTACTCCTCCAAAAGCCACTCAAGGGGCCACAGTCACCCTTGAGTCACTTGCTCAGGGTCACACCGTTGGTGAGGACTGAGCTGGGCCTCAGACACAAGCATTTTTTCTGAAGCAAGACATTGGGTCGGTCCAAGATGCTAAATGGCAGGACAGGTCGCTGGGGGTCATCCCAGGACTCAGGAGGCAGAGGCAGGAGGATCACCACAAGTTTGAGGCAGCCTGGACTGCACAGCGTGTTGAAGGCCTGCCTGGCCTACATAGGGAGACCATGTCTCAAAGAAACAACAGTGACAATAAACAGGGCAGCTCTGGGAGGCTGAGGCAGGAGGACTCCAAGGTTGGGCAGTTTACCAAGACTTTGCCTCGAATAAGTAAATAAATCAAATCCTGGGGATGTAGCTCAGTGCAAAGGCCTGGGTTTAATCCTCAATACAGACAAAAACAAACATGAACAAAACCACAGACAACACCCTTGGTTCCTTACCTAAACAACTAAATCTAAAGGTGGAAAGTGTCAGTCAGTGTTTAAAAAAGGAACAGAAAACCTCAGGGTAGGCAACAGTCTTTTTCTGGAGAAATAGTAGAATTTCCTAAATCAAAGAGGCCCTCCAGGAGGAGTGGGGCCTGAGGTCTTAAACAGGAGGCTGGATGCACACCTGTCATCCCAGCACTGGGGAGGCTGAGGCAGGAAGATCTCTACAAGTTCGAGGTCAGCCTGGGAGGGGATGGGCAAGGCCCAGCAAAATAAAGGGAAGGACAAGGAGGCCTCCAGGCTACAGAGGCTAGAAGGGAAGGTCCCTGCAGAGAGAAATATGGTTTGGGGGACGCGGGGGAGGGTTTTACAGTGGGGGCACCAGCAGCGCTGAGCGGGGACCGATCAGACAAGCGGCAGCTCACATTAGACAGCTGTCTCTGGATGCCACGCAGAGGGCGAACCCCGATCCCCAGCAGCGGGTTAAGCGGTCCCCCAGCAAAACGCACAAGTGAGCTGGCGAGAGAGGCAGCTCTCCCACGAGGACGCTGCGTTCCCCAGTCTTACCGCTAGGGGCAGCAAATGACCTCGCCTTGGGGACGGGTCACCAGAACCGCGCCTGGCTCTGGGCTGGCGCAGCGCTGTGCGTGTGAAGCCGCGTTGCCTCCATTCGCTTTCTACATCCAGCTCCGTGACCCTGAGCACCCATTCTGTCCTTTCTCTCTGAGGCAAGGTCTCTATGCAGCTCAGGCTGGCTTTGAGCTCACTTTGGAGCCCAGGCTGGTCTCGAACTCAAAATGATCCTCCTGCCTCAGCCTCCAGAGTGCTGGAGTGACAGGCGTGCATCACCATGGTGGCCTTCTCCTGTCATTTTCTGTTGACTTTTTTTTTCTATTGTCACTCTGTCTCCCGCGAGCACGGTGGGGCAGGGCTGTCATGTCTTAGGTATCAACCAGAGACTGGCACACATTAAATATGCTCCACTGCGCCCTGCCAGATGCACTGACCAAAAGAACACGAACTAACGAGAGAACATGCTTTTTTCGACGTAGTGAGCTTCAGGACCATTTAACAGATGGGGTAGCCTGGCGTGGTAGCTGTCACACCTGTCATCCCAGTGCTCGGGAGGCTGAGGCAGGAGGATCGTTTTGAGTTCAAGACCAGCCTGGGCTCCAAAGTGAGCTCAAGGCCAACCTGAGCTGCATAGAGAGAGCCTGTCTCAAACAAACAAACAAACAAACAAGCAGGTAGGGTAACCGGGCATGGTAGTGCACGCCTGTTTTCTCCAAACTCAGGAGGCTGAGGCAGGAGGATCTCTGTGAGCTCAGGGCCTGCTTGGGCTACCTAGTAAGACCTTGTCTCCAAAAGAAAATAAGGAAACAAAAACTGGTGGGGAAGCTGAGCTCAGGGGAGCGAACAGACTGAGTTCTGAGGCCAGAAGGCAGGAGAGGCTGAGTCTGGGCCTGCGGACCCAGCAGGGACCAGTCGGAGCCAAGAGCCACTGGGCATCTGGACACCACCCCGAGTCACAGTGGCGTGGTGAGAGGTCCCCCGTCCCTCTCGCAGGCTGCAATGGGGGTTCCCGGCTACCCCTTCTCCCCACAGCACCCCGCTTTAGGGGGAAGAAGGAAGAGGGCTACTGGGCCTCCGCCACTTCCTGCCGGGCTTCTGTGCTCCCCACAACTTCCTGTGTCTAGAGGGCGATGAGCCTGGGGCAGACAAACTCGGAGCATCCGGCTGTGCAGCGCCCCCCCCCCATCACCCCCACACAGTGCAGGGTCTGGGGCGCCTACCTGAGGCCTCCGGCTCTGGCTCGGGCTCCGGCTCCGGGGCTGTGCTCTTGGAACGACTCCAGAGGGGCTTGGAGAGCCGCAGACGACCGCTCCGGGATTCTTTGGGGGGTGCGGAGAGCACCCGGCGGAACAGCGACCGGGGGGCCGGCTGGCTGCTCACCATGGGCTCCTGGTGGCTCAGCGCTCTTCCCCAGCCGGCCAGGCGGCCCCAGCGGAAGCCTCCGGCCGCCTTCTCCCCGCTGCCCCCCTGGTGCCAGCGGTAGGAGGTCAGCAGAGAGGGGGCCGAGGACTGGGCTTGGCAGAGCTGGCTCGGGGCCGGTGAGTCCATGGCGCAGGTGACCCTGGGGACGAGACGGTGACATCTGTGCCTGCTGTCTGGCCGCAGACCGTCCTCAGCTCTGTCCCCTCTCTGCTCACAGCTGTGCCTCCAGGGAACCCCTCTGGGGCCATGCACCCTCCTCTCCCTTACCTTGATTTCCTGGCCAGCCCCAGCATCCGCAGCCGTCTGCACCAGCCTGGCTTCCTCCCACTGAGCCCAATTCCACGTGACCCTAGCGGCCCTACCCCACCCCACAGCCAGGCTGCAAGGGCACTGCAGGGGCAGGATGCAGGGTGGGGTGGAGGGGAGGTGGCAGAGGGGGCAGGCTCGAAGGTCTGGCCAGAATCCCTCGCTGACCCGGAGGCCACACCTGGGCTTCTCCTGGAGCCTGACTTGTGTCTTCTGCAAAGGGGTCACATGCTAGTTAGTGCTGGCCAGGTTCGGAGCACCCAGAGTTCTCCTGTGCAGCTGGTCGCGTTTATCCAGGTTGGAGAGCTGTTTGGCCTGATCTCCTTAAGGAATAGATGGTTTTAAACTGGACGCGGTGACACATGCCTGTCACCTCAGTACTTGGGAGGCTGAGGCAGGAGGATCATTCATGAGTTCAAGGCCAGCCTGGACTGCGGAGCAACACTCTTATTTTTTTTTATTATTATTTTTTTGAGACAGGGTCTCACTGTGTTGTTTAGGCTGGCCTTGAATTCATAATGTAGCCCAGGCTGGCTTCAGATTCACAGGGATCCACCTACCGCAGCCCAAGTGCTGGGATTACAGCTGTGTGCCACCAGGCCTGGATTTTTTTTCATTAAAGAATTGACTTTTTTTTTTTTTTGTCTTTTTGAGACAGGGTCTCTACGCAGTTCAGATTGGCTTTGAGCTCACTATGTAGCCCAGGCTGGTCTCAAACTCGCAACAATCCTCCTGCCTCAGCCTCCCGAGTGCTGGGATTACAGGCATGAGCCACCACACCCACATCCACACAGGGCTAAGAATAGATTTTAAAATCTTTATCATGATGTCTTTATTACAGTGGAATACTATGCAACAATGACAAAGAAATATTGAATGACTGACCTTAGATCAGCTCAACTGGATCATGACCTCGATGGCAGAGCCAAAAAGAAAACAAAATCCAAAACACATAACTTAGTCCCTGTCTCAGAATATAAAAGAGTGGAGGATGTAGCTGAGGGAGAAGACCCTGGGTTACATCCCCAATACCACCCCACCCCAAGCACCAGGAAATGTGTATGTCGTGGGTTTCCATCATGCAAGGTCCCAAGCAGGACTGGGGAAGGAGAATTCTTCCGGCTGGGGATTGAATCCAGGGCCTTATGCACACAAGGCCAGAGTTCTACCACGAAGCCACATCGCCAGCCCCGAAGGAGAATTCTGGGAGCTGGTTTTATTTTTCAGATTAGGGTCTCGCTATGTAACCCACGCTGGCCTCGAGTTCACTAACCCAGGCAGGCTGAGAACTCACAGTGGTCTTCCTGCCTCAGCCTACTAAGTGCTGGAATTACAGCTTCACTAAGCTTGGTCTTTTCTTTTCTTTTTTTTTAGTAGATGTGACATTCACATAACTCAAATTTAACACATTCTACTTTTGGGCTGAATGTGGGTTTCATGGGTGTGACTGGTCGTGAAATTCATTAAGCAATATATTTTGATTTTGGTTTTTTGTTTTGTTTTGTGCCAGGAATTGAACTCAGGACTTTTCCAAGCAGGTGCTTGTGCCACTGAGCTATCTCCCTGGCCAAAGCAATATATTTGATTTGCTGTCCTGTACTTTATACCTCAATAAATATTTTCTTAACTCTTTTTTTTTTTTTGGTCTTTTGAGACAGGGTCTCACTACGCATTTCAGAATGGCCTTGGGCTCACTTTGTAGCCCAGGCTGGTCTCAAACTCACAATGATCCTCCTGCCTCAGCCTCCCGAGTGCTGGGATGACAGGCATGAGCCACCACGCTCGGCTGATAAAAATTTTTTTGAAAAGAAAAAAAAAAGGCTGGGAGCTGGGTGTGGTGGTAGATGCCTGTCACCCCAGCACTCTTGGGAGGCGTAGACAGGAGGGTTGCCATGAGTCTGAGCATGGGCAAAAACTGATCTGACAAACAGGAGTCACCATCATTGTGACCCAAGAGCCAAAGGGGAACCGGTCTGAGTACCAGCTGGCCCTGTCTCCCTGTGTGACCTCAGGCCAAGTCATTTCCTCTCTCTGACTCTGGGTTTCCTTATTTGTACAAGATGATAACATCAAGTTTCAAAATGTTCATAACGTGGCCCAGTGTGGTGGCGCACACCTGGCATCCCAGCATTGGGGAGGCTGAGGCAGGAGGATTGCCGGGAGTTTGACACCAGCCTGGGCTACCCAGCGAGTTCAAGGTCAGTTTGGGCTACATAGCAAAACCCCCATCTGAAAAAACCAAAATCAAACAAACTAATGTAATTCTTTGTGGTACATGAGATCGAATCCAGAGCTTTATATGTCCAAGGCAAGTGCTCTATTACAGAGTGACCGCCCAGACTTATTTTTAGCTTTATGTTTTTGAGTGGTCCTGGGGATGGAATCCAGGGCCTGAAGCACGCCTGGCAAGTGCTCACCATGAGCTGTATCCCCAGCGTCTTTTCACTTTTGATGTTGCCACAGGGGCCCACTAATTTCCCAGGTGAGTTCCAAGCCTGCCTTGGTCTCACTAGGTGCTGGAATCATAGGCACGGGCCATGGGATGCTGCAATCTATTTTTAACTGAAGAATTGTTTTGCTTTGTGTTTTTGGAAACAGGTTCTTGCTATGTAGTATAGGCTGGCCTCGAACTCACTATGTAGCCCATGCTGGCCTCAAACTCATGGTGATTGTCCTGCCTCAGCCTCCTGAGTGCTAGTGACCACCCCTGGCTCTCCCCTGTATTTTTGCTGGAGGATTTTTTCAAGGACTGGAGCCCTAATCCTACCTATAGGACAAGCTATCCCCAAATGCTACTTCCCCAAAGTGGCCCTTGGGAGGGGGACTCAGCTCATCAGCATGGTGCCTGCCTAGAAAGCACAAGCTTCTGAGTTTGATTCTTAGTACCAAAACATAAAAAAGTAGCCCTTGATTGGTGACAATGGCTCCCTCACCTCTCCCATGGGATGTCTCTCAGGTGCGCCCCCTGTGCGGTCCTCTGGGACTGAGGCCCGGCTGTCCCCATTGGGAACCTGCTTGATCATGAGTCCTTCCCTAGCTGCCCTTCCTTCCCTGATGGCCTCTCTTTTGTCTCGGGATTTGTCTCGGGGCCACCTGCCAATCAATTACTCATACTACTATTCATATACGTACTATACTGAGAGTGGAACCCAGGGGCTTTGCACTGAGCTACACCTTCAACCCTTTTTCTGAATTTTGAGTCAGGCTTTTGATGAGTCACTCAGTCACCCAGGTTGATCCTCCTGCCTCGGCCTCCCCAGCCTGCTGGGATTTTAGGTGTGTGTGCCATCACACTCGATTTATTTGTGAATATTTTTTATTTTTGTGGTGCTGGAGACAGAAGCCAGTGCCTCAAGCCTGCCGGGCTCTACCCCTGAGCCGCACCCACGGCCTCTTATTATGGGATGTTTTCTCTCAGGTCTGCTTCTGGATGAATCCAAACTCAAACAATGGCCACAAACACAGATCTCGTGAGACCAGAGATTTTTCTTTCTTTGGTGACTTTACTGGAGTCTCGCAGCTGCTGGAAGACTGGCAGTGTCCTCCTCGAGGTTCTTAGTTTGTAGCCTGGAAGACACAAGGGAGCACCAGGCTGGATGGATGCACCCCTGAGACCACGGATGGGGGCGGGAAGGGATCCCAAAGGTGGGAGTGGCTAGAAGCTCCCTGCAGGCCAGGGGCGCAGACCAGAAGCTTTAGGGAATGGAGAGGCGGCCTGCAGAGAGGGTGAGACCGTCGGGGTGCTTAAACATTTCAGGGCTGAGGTTAGGGGCCAGGACGCGGGCTCCCGGCCCATCCCCAAGACTCTCAGTGGCTGAGTTGCGCTCATTGGCTGCACAGGGGATTGTGACACCCCGTTAGGGCCGGAACTCAGGCAGAGGGGCTTTGGGTAGAGTCGAGGGCTAAGTTAGTGTTGTGTGGACCGCAGACCTTTGGGCAGCACCAAGACCGAGGTCGTGCCAGCCAGGCCAGGGAGGAGTCACAGGATGTCAGCAACCAAAGTTGGGCCTCGGGTGCCAGGAAGATGTGGCAGGCGCCGTGCCGAGCCCACTAGCCCAGCCGGAGGACCCACCTTGGACTCAGAGAAGTGAGGCCAGGTGCGCAGCTGGAGGAAGAGCGCGTCGCCCGGACACTCGGTGGTGCGAACCAGCTGGCGGTGGCCCAGCACGCCGTAGTCGCCCCGGAGGAGCCCGGCCCGCACAGCGCAGCTGGGGAGCACATGGCTGACCGTGCGCAGCACCTCCTTACTGGGTAAGGTCTTGGAGAAGTCGCCCACGATGGCCACACCGAAGCCGTGGGAGTTGTAGCCGAACGTGTGCGCGCCCACCCAGTGCCAGCCGCGGCCCTCATACACGTAGCCATCGGAGCCCACGACGAAACTGCAGGGCGGGGGCGGGAGGCATCGTGGGTGTGAGGGAGGCCTCCATCCCGGGCTCCGGACCCCAAAGACCACCCCATCCCAAGGGCCACCTGACATCCAGGGTCATCGGACCCTAAGAAGCACCTGGCCTCCAGGGTAACAGCCCTCCTATGCCAAGTCCAGCGCCCCGCCTCTGTCCAGCTCGGCTCCACAGCGCCCCCACTCCAAGCGCCAGCCCCGACCATCCCCCGCGTGGGCCGTGTCCCCCTCCTTTCTGCCCTCCCTCCCTCCTCCTGGCCTCAGGTTCAGATACTACCGGCTCAGAGCTTTTCTCTTTAGACCGCCCCTGCCAACGCCAGGCCCGGACCCCGGGGGCCTCCCCAGGCCTCTTTCCATCCTGCTCTTTCCCCTAACCCAGGAATCCTGCTGTTTAGTTATCCTGGGTTCCTATTAAGGACCCCTGTGCTCTGATCTGACTCCACCCACCACAACTCCCCCCTCCCCTCCCCCTCCTATCCCCTTCCCCTCCACCTACTCTCCCTCCCTCTCTTATTCCCCTCCCATCTCCCCTTTATTCTCCTCCTCCCCTCCTCCTTCTCCCCTCCTCTTCTCCTTCTCTTCCTCCTCCGTTCCTCTTCTTCCCTTCCTCCTCCTCCCCTGCTCCTCCTCCTCGACAGGCTCCGCCCACTAGATTCGCTCCGCCCGCGATCTCCGCCCCGCCCAGATGGTCCCACTCACCCTCCCCAGACAAATCCCCGCCCCCTCACTCTGATTGGCCCGCCCGGGCCGCCCCGCCCACCTGTAGCCGATGTCGCTCCAGTGGCGCTCTCCCTGGTGGAAACGCTGCATGGAGCGCATGTCGGCGGCGCAGCGTTTGAAGGTAGTGCAAGGCAGCGCCGGCTCGAACGTGTGATGCACGTACAGGAACCCGAGCGGCAGCTTCAGGGGCGCGGGGTTGCCCCGGTAGGGCGCGGCCTCCCAGCGGCAGCGGGGGTGGATGGCCGGGCACCCTGCAGGCGGGGGGAGTCAGCGTTGCGCACGCGCACGGCAGGGCAGCCCCAGACTTCGGGAGACTCCAGTCTCCCGCCACGCTGGCTCCCCACTGGGACCTAACCTAACTAAATCCAAGTCTTGGAATAACCGCTGTGTCTCGCATAACTTTTGGGATAAAATGCAAAGATTTTAACGCAAGCGCCTGAGGCCTGGGGGGGGGGGAAGGGGTCAAGGAGGGGTTAGTGGGCGGGGCCTTGTCGTGTGGGCGGGATAGTGGGCGGGGATTGGCCTATCAGGGCCCCGACCGGCGGTGAGTAGGACCAGTGGGCGGAGCCCGGGGAGGAGCCTTTGTGGCGGTATAGGCCCGTTAGAGCAAGGGCGGGCGCCTTGAAATGGACCTGAGACGGTGAGCCTGCAGCTGGCCCTGCCCGGACCCCAAGGGAGCGGCAGCAACGCTGGGAAAGGAATCTCAGCCTGCATTTATCGAGCTGAACTTCCCCTGAAGCCCCTGTGTATCTGCCCTGGGTGAGCTGGCTCCTTGCCATGTCTTGGCCGTGGTAAGGACGTGGGACGTCCTCTAAGACTCTGGCTTGGTCCTCAGCTCGGCGTTGCTGGGGGGGGGGTAGGGGCCTTCAGGGTGGGGTCGCGGGGATATGCTTTGGAGGAGAGTCTGGGACCCCCGTCTTTCCTTTCTCTCTTTGCTCCCCTCTACAAGGGGTGGGCCGCTTCCTCTGTCACTTGCTACTGGTGAGAAGCTGATTTGCTGCAGGCCCGGAAGCAATGGGCAGCCGGCTCTGAGCTGAAAACTCCAAAGCAAAATAAATCTTTTAAGTTGCTTTGTCTCGGGGATTTTGTTACGGTAATAGAATGCGAAGACAACCTCTGCCTCACTTTCTTTCTCTTTTGCTGGGGATCATTTTCCAGACAGCCTCTCTTTTCTCCTGCCTCAGCCTCCAAGGAGCTGAGCTCACAGGCATGGCCCACTGCACCCAGATCTTCACTTTTTAAAAAAGTTCAGATGAGGCTGACTATAGTGGTTCATGGTGCCAACCTGTCATTCCAGCACACGGGGAGGCTGAGGCAGAAGGATCACAAGTTTGAGCCCTGTCTGAGTCACTTAACAATTTAGCAAGACTCTCAAAATAACAAAATAAAAAAGGACTGCAGATATAACTTCCTGAAGGCCTGGGTTCAGGCCCCAATACTTACAAGATAGATGAAACCAAGCAAAAAGGACCCCCTCAAAAAAACAAACGGATAAACTATTCGTCCTCTAAGGCCCTGTTCTTCCTAGCACTACTTCATATGTGTAACGGTTCTGCCTCTGCCTCCCTCATTCAAAGCCCGGCAGGTGCCCTCTGGATTCTCATGGGCCTGCAGCCCCCTGATCTCATGGCACCAGGAGTGTCTGCATCTTTGACAGTTAGGGCCACAAGGGAAGGGGGGTCTCCTCACCCAGGAAGGCCTCCACAAACTCCTTGGCAGCCTGGGCGGCCACCTGGGCCAGGTGGTCTTGGCTGATGTTATGCAGCTGTGGTGGTCCTGGCTCCACATTCTGTAGCAGCACAAGAGTCCCCAGTACCAGCTGGGCCAGGCTGGGGGCCGAGGTCAGAGCAGCTCCCTTCTGCCGCCGGAAGTTGCTGCGAAACTTGGGGTCTTCAGCCACCCCAGCGCCGTAGTACTCACTGAGCAAGCGGCTGAGGGGTGGCCGGGGCTCAGGGACCGTGCTCAGGTAGTCTGCAAGGAGGGCTCCATCCAGGGCTCCATTGAGGAAGGCCATGGTCAGCCCGGATGCCTTGGGGTCCAGCAGTGTGAACTCCTGGGGGGCAGAGAGCTGGTCCCAGCAGCCCTCAGTCCCCAGGCCTGGCAGGCTCTGGTTCCGGGGACTCTGCAGGAAGTCCAGGCCCAGATCTGCAGCCAGGGTGATGGCCAGGAAGCTGTCCCTGGCGCTGAGCGATCTGGGTTGGCCTTTGGGTAAGGTGGCTCCGGCATCCGTAGGGGGGATATCTGGAGAAGCCCCCGTGGGTCCAGGGGAGGTGGCGCCAGCATCCGGAGGGCTGGCCTGGCTCTCCAAGGGCAAGGTTAGGGCTAAACCCCTACGAACCTGTAGCCCGGCCGTCAGTCCCGCCAGCAGAGGCTTCACAGCCACGGTGGAGCCGTCGGGTGCCAGCACCACCCCGTACTCGCGCCCAGCCTGTATTTCATGTCGGGCCACCTCCTCAGCCAGGTCTCGAAGCTCTGGGCTCAGAGGCGGGGGGTCCAGCTTGGTGACCTTGAGGCTGGGCGCCTGCAACAGGAGGTGGTGGAGGGGATGGAGGGGCCCAGAGTTCTGGGCAGACAGAAGCCACGCAGAAGCGCTTTCGTTGACCTGGGTCCCTGGCAACTTCTGCTCCAGCTCAGCCAGGACCCGGATGACAGAGTCCATAACCAGGGGCAAAGAGGCTGTACGGGGGATGAAGGGGTGGACATGTGTCACCTGTCTCCAAACGTCCCCGGCTAAGCTCATGTCTCTCTTATTCCCAGCTCTCTGCCTAAAAACCTGGTGAATGCCACAACCACCCTTGTGCATAGGGGTAAACTGGGGCAATCAGACTCTTGTATCGATTAAGGAGCTGGGAGCACTGGGGCATCATGTGAGGTCTAAGATTGTTTCTATAGCTGCCACAAGGAAGTGGATTCTCAGGATGCTGAAAGAGAGCCGGGGAGGTGGTGTGGTGGTGTCATGAAGACACTGAGGGTTCCCAGACGTGTAGGGTAAAAGATGCAGCCTGGCATGGTAGGGCATACCTGCACTGGGGCATCCCAGCACTGGGGAGACCGAGGCAGGAGAATCTCTGCAAATTGTGCCCAGCCTAGGCTACACAGTGAGTTCAAGGCCAGCCTGGACTACATAGCGAGACCCTCTCTCAAAAAAACAACAAAAAGCTGGGCATGGCAGCACACACCTGTAATTCCCACACTTGGGAGGCTGAGGCAGGAGGATTGCTGGGAGTTGAGTCCAGCCTGGGCTACAAAGTGAGCTCAAGGCCAGCCTGGACTGCATGGTGAGGCCCCATCTCAAAAAGACACAAACAGGGCCGGGGAGGTAGCTCAGCAGATAAGCACCTGCCTGGTAAGTACAAGGTCATCAGTTTGATTCCTGGTATCAAAAAACAACAGTAACAAAAGATTCATCATTTTGGGTGGGTGACAGATGGAGTTAGGAGTTTAGAGGGAATGATAGTTACAATGATGATCAGGAAAAGAAGCAGAGATGGACTGTACCTTTTATTGACTAAAAGCATAGAACTATTGTTATTATTATTATTGTTATGATTTTTAAAAAATCGGTACCATGGATTGAACTCACTCCCACCTGCTTGCAAGGCAGGTGCTTATGCTGCTGAGCTAAATCCCCAGCCCCTTGTTATGGTTTTTTAAGATAGGATCTCAACTATTGTAGTTCAGGCTGGCCCATCCCAAGAGAGTAACTAGCCTCTCAGGCTGGCTTTGAATTTGTGGCATCCTCCTGCCTCAGCCTCCCAAGCGCTGGGATCATGGAAGTGCACCACCCACTCCCAGGATAGAACTCACAGCAGTCCTTCTGCCTCAGTCTCCCCGGTGCTGGGATGACAGGCGTGTCACTATGCCTGGCAAAAACCTAGAATTTAGAGTTGTTGGGTTACCTGGCCCAGAGCTGGGGTTATTGGATAAATCACCAATATTTATTAAACATTTACTATGTTCCAGGAACCACTGTGGGTGACGTGTGTGTGTGTGTGTGTGTGTGTGTGTGTGTGTGTGTGTGTGCATGCGTGCATGTGTGCGTGCACTCAGGGAGCACCCTCCTCTGAGCCCTTTTTAGCTTTCTTTTTTGATATAGACTCTGACTAAATCACGGAGGCTGGCTTCAAACCAAGGATCCTCCTGCCTCGGCTTCCCGTGCATCCTGGGAGGGGACCTGCGTAGCCTTCCAAGTGCTGGGCTTACAGGTGCGCTCCACTGTGCCGGCCCCATTCCTGCCTTGATTCTGAGGGGCCAGAAGCCTGTGAGTCAGACGCTGTCAGGACCCCTGTACTCTTCTGTGGGGCTGGGAGCCCCGGTCCTGGCCCCTGCCCTCCAACCCACCTGTTCCAGGCTCCGGCCACATCAGCAAGCCGAGCAGGATGCAGAGGACACTGCTCGGGGCCATCCTGGGGCTCCAGAGTCCAGCAGACATCTCGGGTTGGCCTCAGCCAGGACCCGGGCCCTGCTGGAAGGGGACAGGTGGGAGAGCTCCTGCCAAAGTCCAGAGGTAAGTGACACGGTGGCTTCTCACAGCGCAGTGGGCGGCGGTGGGGGTGTGGGAGCAGACAGCCCTGGGTCAAGGTCGTCCGGCCCCTAGGTTTCTCCCTCCTATGCTGTCCCTGTCCCTGGCATTAAGGGTCAGCGAACCAGCCCCGTCCCGTGAGGATAGGAGCTCAGACTCCAGCAAATGCTGCCGATTCTTGAGAGAGGTAACCCAAGGCCCGTCCAGCAAGCCCTGCTCTCTCCCTCTAGTGACAGCCCTGTAGCCACTGCTGTGCACCAGAGGAGACTCTCAGCTGCCTGGTGAGAACAGGCTATGTTGCTGAATATAATGGTGTTTTAGCACTTGGGAGGCTGAGGCAGGAGGATCGCTGTGAGTTCAAAACCAGCTTGGGCTACACAGTGAGCTCAAGGCCAGCCTGGACTGCACAGCGAGACCCTGTCTCAAAAAGAAAGTAAAAGGAATTTAAAGCTAAGAACAGGCTGCTTGGGGCAGCTGGATTTTTCTACTAGCTTCCATAACTGTGACAAAATATGGAAATAATCAGCTTTTAAAGATGAAAGATTTATTCTTTTAGCCCACGGTGAGGCAGCGAATTCTGGTGGGAACGGTGGTGGGAGGCTGCCATGGGGCCAGGCTGGTCTTCTCCCCGCCCCCTCTCCCCAGCCAGGTTCACCCACAGAATGGGGGTGGCCGGACAAGGGTTCCCACCCCTCTCCAGTACTGCAGACTGAGCGCGGGGCCCTGTGTGTGCTCTCTTCAGAGGCACCCCCCGCCCTCTTTATTTTGAGACAGTGTTTGTCCACCCTGAGCTCCAACTTGAGATTCTCCTGCCTCAGCTTCCCCAGGAGCAGGAGGGCCGAGCCCTGCTCCAAGTGCATGGCAAGCCACGGTGTCAGCTGTCACCCAGTCGCAACCCCTGCCCCCCAGGTGTAGCTGAAATCCAGGCTGGGCCTGAGTGTCAGGGACCTGGGTTTTGTCCCAGGAGCTGGCCTCTGGACTCACCTCGGGTGACAGCGAGGGTGCCTCCACTTCCCTGGGTGCTTGTGGCTGAGTCCTACTGAACGGCCGGTCTCTCCTTTATTCAAGGTTCAGGAGGCGGCCCCGGGAGGCTTCTCTGCACCACCCACCTGGTGGAGTTTCCCAGAGACCCTTGGGCCTGGGCTTAGGATGAGTCGGGCCTGAGGAAGCCCAGAGTGACCAGGCCTGGGACTCCCCAGGAAGCCACACTGAGGACCCTCTCAGCTGTCAGTCAGGGATTCTTCACCCAGCGTACAGCTGGACACAGGAAGCACAGGCCGGGGGCTGGAGGGGCGGGATCCACACCCCAGGAGGAGCATCCTCCTCCGGGCTCAGGGCTCTGGGGCTGAGAGACCCTGTGGGCAGTGTCGAGCAGAGGGCGTGGGCGCTGCCTGGGAGACGCATCCTCCTTGGGTGCAGCTACAAATCAGTCATCAAGATCAACCGATTTTGCTCCCCCTGCAGTTCAGGCTGGCCTTGAACACATTGTAGTGCCCAGACTGTCCTCAAACTCACAGAGATCCTCCTGCCTCAGCCTCCCGAGTACTGGGATGACAGCTGTGCACCACCTCACCAGGCAGGAAAAGATTCTGGTTCACAGCAATGCTGAGCGGAAGTATGGAGGGTGCCCCTGAAGTCCCTGTCCCATGTAGGCACAACCTCCTCCCCCACTGTCAACAGTGCCAGCAGGTGGCACATTGGTCACAATCAATAAAACCTACAGGGACTCATCACTGTCACCCAAAGTGCATAGTCTACTTTAGGAGCTCACTCTTTTTTTTTTTAATTACAAATTTTTTTTTTTGCCTTTTTGAGACAGACTTGCTATGTAGTTCAGGCCAGCCTTGAGCTCACTTTGTAACCCAGGCTGGTCTCAAACGCACAGGGATCCTCCTGCCTCAGCCTCCTGAGTTCTGAAATGACAGGTGTGTGCCACACCCGACTAGGAGCCCACTCTTGATATTCTACAAACTACCTTTTTTTTTTTGTTTTTGATACTGGGGATTGAACCCAGGGAGTACTGAATTACACCCCGGGTGCTTTTTATTTAATTTTTTGAGACAAGATCCACAGGCAGGCTGGCCTCAGGCTTGTGATCTTCCCGTCTCAGCCTCCTGAGTGCCGGAGTGTCAGGTGTGCACCACGATGCTCCTGATGATGTGCCATGAAACGATTTTCATGTGCGGATTTGCCATCTGTGTATCTGCTATGGTTTGTGTCTGGATGTCTCCCCAAAGCCTCGTGCAGTCATGGAGTGGGGCTTCCAGAGTTGGTCGGTGACTGACTCTCGAGGCTTGGATTATGGGTGTGCATGTTACACCCAAGTGCGTGTGACCTGCACACGATATAAGGGACAGTCTTCTCCGTCCCCCTCCCTCTTCGTTCTTGGGGCTTTGCTGTCTTCTGCCACCATGAAAGGTGGCCCCTGTGCCACGCCACCCTACGTTGGAGCCAGTTGATTATGAACTGGAACCTCCACAAGCTGTGAGCTAACTAAACCTTTCCTCCCTTAACTTTAGGTGTCTGGTATTTTGTCTCAGCAACGAGAGAAAATTAACCAAGACAGTACCTTTTTGGGAGAGGCGTCTGTTTTCAGGTCTTCTGCTTATTAAATATCTGACTGTTTGCTTCCCTATTGTTGAGTCCTGTGTGTATTTTGGATCCCATTCCCTTTACCAGCTGTGTCTTTTGTCAGGGTCATCTCTTGAGTTTATGGCTCACCCTTCCATTCTCTTGAGATAAGTAACTTTGGAAGGCAGCGGCTTAAGAGATCAAAATGAATGCAGAACTCTGATGATGAATAATACATTTTTGGGGGAGACAATTTCTGTTAGGAAAAGAAGTAAACAGATACTCGTCCCACAGGACAGGTTTTCTGCAGGATGGGTTTACTGAGAGGGACCGTGCTGGCACTGGAGACCAGCTGCTCCCCGACAGGCTATGGGGTCTTCTGTAGGGTCATGGGCAGGGAGCTTAGTGACAGAGGGCTGTGGCATCTGCCTAGAGCGAGGCTTGATGGAGCACAAGCAGTCAAGCCTCCAAGGACAAGGCTTGGAAAGCGCAGGGTGGCACTGTGACCTGCAGGGCTTACAGTATGAGAGCTCCCCAGGTCCTGCTGTGCCTGAGTGGGGTTTAGAGGGGGTCTCTGATCAGGAGGTTGGTGGTCAGATTCCTTCAGGGTCTCCCTATGTAGTCCAGGCTGGTTTTGAATTCATGGAGATCCTTCTGCCTCAGCCTCCCGAGTGCTGGGATTATAGGCGTGAGCCACCACACCTGGCTTAATTTGGGAAATTTGAATGCAAAAGCCTATTTCTGTGCTCCCTTGGGCAGCACTCCAGAGGAAACTGAGTCTACAGGCAGGCGGAAGGCAGGTTTCACAGTGCTACAGGCAACCAGTATGGTAGAAATGTTACAGGTGGCCGGACGAGATCAGGCCCCCAAGGGAGTCCATGCAGAGAGACAGAAAGAGAGCATGTGACAGCTGGCCAGAGGGGCATCTATCCACGGCCTGCCTCAAGGTAAAGATGAATTATTTGCCTCCCCGAAGGATGAGCAATTCCCTATGATTGGGGTCACCCAGTCCAAGGAAGCCTAGATAGGCAATTTGTGGTTTTTGTACTCATGGTGTTTAGCTCCCAAACATTTCCATCACCCCAAAAGGAAACTCTCCACCAGATGGGTCTCACTGTGCAGTCCAGGCTGGCCTTGAGCTCACTCTGTAGCCCAAGCTGGACTCAAACACACAGAGATCCTCCTGCCTCAGCCTCCTGAGTGCCGGGATGGCAGGCGTGCATCACTACACCTGGCTACCTCATTCTTTTTATGGCTGTATAATATTCTATCATGTGGGAGGACTGTGATCTGCTTCTGTAATGGGAAGTTTACTGGAATACGCCATTCTCAGTTCATGTACAGGAGGTCAGTCCTGGCTTCGGAGGGTCATTCTGAGGGTGCAAAATGAGCAGGACAGCGGATGTGCTGAAAATGTTTGATGAGAAAAGGTGTGGCCCAGGAGGCAGCGGGGTGTCTGGCTTTTTTGGGAAGAAATAGGGACACTGGCATGGCCAAGACCACGGAGGGAGCAAAAGGAAGGAGCTGGGATCCACCCAGAGCTGGCCTTCCGGAAGATTCCCTGGTTCCAGCCCCGCCCCTCACTGGATGGTTGCCATGACAGCAGACCCCGCCCAGAGCCCTGCACCAACCCTGGGTCTGTGCTTGGACCAATCCCAGGCCGACAGCTGCTATATAAGCAGGGTTCTCCGACCTGCTCCCGGGTGGGTCCGGTAAGGCTCTGTCCCGTGTGCTGCTGTGGAAATAATCACAGGTGTGGGCTCCAAAAGTCCTGTAAATGTGCTCGGGCTTGTTACCCTGAGCAGTGTGGACAGAGGGGTGTCTCAAAAGAAACCGAGCCATGAATGAGGGGCTGCCCTTAAAGGGCCAGTGGCCAGCGGCCAAACCAGGGTCAGTGGGCACTGGGCCTGCTACCTAGCTGCCCTCTGCGGCCTCATGATTCCCACCTAAATGGAGAAAAAGGCAAAAACCAGACCAAAATGAAACAGCTGGACCCCAGGCTGACGGGCAGCGCGCCATGTCCTGTGGGAGTCCAGACCCGCGATCAGGAGTTCGTCCCAGGGCACTGGCCCGGGCCAGCGCTTCCCTGCTGGCCGAAGGGTTAGTTGACCTCAGTTTACCCAAAGGAAGCCCTTGGGCTCCGCCCAGGCCGCAGCTGTGCGTTTCTGCAGAGCGGGGTGAGATTTAATCTCCGGACACCTCGATTGGCACAGGGGAGGAAGGGTTTTGTAATCGCGGACACGAGATATCGCACAGATCTGAGCTCTGAGCTTAGGCCTTGGCAGGGTGCTGGGGGGCAGAGAACAGCGTGGGGTGTTCCCGTTCCCCCGGCGGCCCCTGGAGGACACTTGCCATGTGCCCCCTGGCTTCTAGAGGTCTCAGCCTCCTGAAGACAGGGACACAGGGCAGAGGGCTTCCCTTTCCTCTCCTTTTATATTATTATTTTTTTCTGCAGTGTTGGGCATAGAACCCAAGGCCTCACTCAGGGTGTGAGACTCAGCTACGTTCCAGCCCAGCCCGCCTTTCTCTCTCTCTCTCTTTCTGTCCCTTTTTCACCCTTCTTCTTCTGCTTCTTTTTCTTTGGGAGGGTTTATTTTTTTGAGACAGGGTCTCACTGCGTAGTCTAGGCTGACCCTTGAACTCAGTATGTAGCCCAGGCTGGCCTCAAATTTGCAACGGTCTTCCTGCCTCAGCCTCCCCAGTGCCGGGCTTAGAGCCCCCACGCCTGGCCTGTCTCCTTTTTTTACAAGACAAATCTCACTCTGCTGCCCAGGTTGGCCTAGGACCCGGATGCTGCCGCTGGGATCCCAGATCCCACCCCAGCTCTTCTGTCCTTGGCTTCCCCAGTTCCAGGCTCCTCCCTGTGGCTCAGCCTTGACCCCCGAGATCCGGGTTGTCTGTGTCCAACCTGATGATCTCAGGACTGGAAGTGCTTTCGGATTCGGTCCCCTGCTGAGTCACGGGCATGTAGCAGAGGGCTGGTGGCAGGCAGAGAAAATTCAGTGTCCTGTCTGGAGGAAGGGACCCTCTCCTTCCTTTTGGCCTCGCTGGCTGGGCTCTCTGGGGCAGGGGGGAAGTACCAGGTCAGCCTGCGACCTGCCCTCTGCCCTCTCTCTGAGTAACCTGTGCCCACGGGTGTGACTTCAGTGTGGGCGTCGGTCACCTGAGCATCTTCTCAGACAGAGAAGTCAGCCTAAGGCGTAAAGAGACCCCAGGTCTCACCCAGACTTCCCACCTCCTTGGGAGGACCTACTCCTTTCCCTGGGCCTCCACCTCCCCACCTCTAAAATGGGAATAATAATAATAATACATCTCTTTCCTAACGGTGGCAAAGGAATCAGGGAGAATGAACACACCTACACCCGCTTCCACTGACCCAGTCATGGTGGCCCACACACCTGTCATCCCAGCACTCGGGAGGCTGAGGCAAGAGGATCCCTGGGAGTCTGAGGCCAGCCTGGGCTACGTGGTGAGTTCCAGGTCAGCTTGGATTACACAGTGACACCCTGTCTCAGAAGAACCAAACAGCAACCCATAACTAAGTACATAATCTCTTCCCACCACTTATTTGTGGCTAGGAAATCCACAGGGCACAGAGTTGGGTACCTTGGTGTTGCACAACTGTTACATCTGATTCCAAAGCATTTTCAACACCCAACCGGAAGCTCTGTACCTGTGAAG